GGGACTGGTCTGCAGGCCGACGCTCCAACCACTGAGCCAAACTGGCTTGGGCTAAAAAACATTTTTATCATTTCTTGTAAATCCAGTTTAGTTGTGATAAACTCCCTTAGTGTTTACTTGTCTGGGACACTCTGGATCTCTCCTTCAATTCTGAATGATAACCTTGCTGGACATTGGTTGTGTTCCTTTCTTTCAGCACTTTAAATATGTCTGCCACTCCCTTCTGGCCTGTAAAGTTGCTGCTGAGAAGTCAGCTGACAGCCTTATGGGGTTTGCCTTGTATGTTACTTGTTTCCATCTAGTTGCCATCTTGTTCTTTATTCTTAACCTTTGCCATTTTGTTGTTGTTCACCCAAGGATATTTTTTCTATTGATTTTTTTTTTTAATTTCTTGGCTGCAAATGTGAGCTATTTTCCTTTATTGATTTTAGAGAGAGAGGAAGGGAGAGGGAGAGAGAGAAACATCAATGAGAGAACATCAATCAGCCACCTCCTGCACGCCCCCCACTGGGGATAAGGCCCATAACCTGGGCATGTGCCCTGACTGGGAATCGAACTGGGGACCTCTTGGTGACACTCAACCACTGAGCCACACTGGCCGGGCCCATTGATTTTTTTAGAAGAGTGTAGAAAGGAGGGGTGGGGAGAGAGAGAGACATTGATGTGAGAGACACATGATTGGTTGCCTCCTGCACATGCCCTGACCAGAGCCAGGGACTGAACCTGCAAGCCAGATATGTACCCTTGACTGGGAATCAAACTCACAGCCCTTTGGTGTGTGGGCCGACACTCTAACCACTGACCCACACTGGCCAGGCAACCTTTGCATTTTAATTGTACTAGGTCTTGCTGTGGGCCTTTTTGGATTCATCTTCTTTGGAATTCTCTGAACCTCTGACACCTATTTTCTTCCCCAGATTAGGAAACTTTTCAGACATTATTTCTTCAAATATACTTTCTGCCTCCTTCTTTCTCTTCTTTCTGAAAACTCTATAAAGCAAATGTTATAGTGCTTGATGTTGTCCCAGAGGTCCCTTATATTTTTAAAATTATTTTTTCATTTTGCTGTCCTGATTTGGTGATTTCCACATTTTTTCTTTCCAGTCCTGTATTAACTAATCTGTTGTTGATTCCTTCTAATGTATTTTTTAAAATTTTTATTTATTGATTAAAGAGAGATCAACTGTTGTTCCATTTATTTATGCAGTCATTGGTTGATTTTGTATGTGCCCTGACCAGGGATCAAACCCACAACCTTGAAGTATTGGGATGACACTCTAACCAACTGAGCTACCCAGCCAGGACCCCCCCTAATGTATTTTTTTCATTTTGGTTATGATGTTCTTCAGCTCTGATTCGTTCATTATTATACTTTCTAACTCTCTGTCGAAGTTCTGGGTACCTCTATCCGATAATCTCAAGTTTTTTGAGCATCCTTATGACCATTTCTTTCTTTTTTTCTTTTTTGGTACATGCCCCTAGCAGGAACTGAACCTGGGACTCTCTGGTCCACAGGCCCACGCTCCAACCACTGAGCCAAACCGGCCAGGGCTGACCATTTCTTTTCTTTTCCAGGCACATCATTTACCACCATTTCACTAAGTTTTTTTTGTTTAAATTTTTCTCATTTCTTCATTTGGAGCATATTCTTGTCTCCCCATTTTGTTTGACTTCTGTGTTTCTTCCTATGAGTTAGATGAAGTAGCTATGTCTCCCAGTCTTGAGAAAGTGGCTTCCGTGTTGACTGTGTGCTGCATGACTTGGTAGGCCAGTTCTAACCAGGGTGGGCACGTGCAGTGCCTGGTATGCCTCCTGACCAGAAGGAACAGGTACCAGGCATGGTAGTCTGGTGTACCCACACATGCAGTAGCTCCTTATTGTTCCGGCTGTCCTCTGCCAGAACAGAGTCACTGTGGGGCAGCCTTATGTGTGTGCCTTTCCTTGCCCTCCTGACCTGGGCAGGGCTGCCAGCTATGCATGGCCCACCCTGTTACTTTGTTGTCCAAGCCAGGTCTGACCAGTGTCATTGGCAACCCTACCACTTCCACTTTCTCTGGACAAGGCGGCTGTGTGTGCACGTACTGCACTTTGCTCCTCTTGCACTTTCTCTGGGAGTTCCACACTTTGGATGGGGCAAACGTGAGTGTGCACTGCAGCTCTGTGCTAGTTCCGCACTTTCCCTGGACGGGGCGTCCCATGTAGTCATGCAGGTACTGCAGCACTTTGCTAATTCTGCACCTTCTGGTGAAGCAGTCCTGTGCATGCGCACGCACCTTGCTTCTCCAGCGGGAGTGGCTGTGGATGCACTGTAAAGCACTACAGGTCAACCAAAGCCCCTGGCTGGAATTCCCACCGCCTTATCCAAGCACAGGAGAAATGTCAACAATGGTACTGTGGTTCCTCTGGTTCTGTAGAGTTCCCTCAGCTCCAGAGAGCTGTTGCTTCTCTGTGTTCTCTGGTTTGTCCTGCAAAAGCTGTTCAATTGGCCCTCAGTTGCCTCTCAGGAGGAATGGCCCTAAATACAGGTGTACATTCTGTTCTTGGGAGGCAGCAAGCTCAGCACCTTCTTATGCCACCATTTTGGACTTGTCTCTACACTAAAAATTTTAAATTTGAAATAGTACATTTTTCATTTCTATAATTTCTATTTAGTTATTTTTTAAGGTAGCTTTCTTCTGTCATATATCTATAATAATTTTAAATGATGTCTCTATTTCATAATTCCATTATCTAAAGTCCTTGGGGGTTTAATCTTGGCATTTATTGCCTTCTAACTCTTTCTGATGGTGAGTTGTTTCCTTGTGTTCTATAATTTTGAATTGTGAGCTCAACATTGTTGTTGTTGTTTTTAAAACTGTGTCTCAGGATTGTTTTTTTTAATCCTTACCCTAGGACATTTTTCTATTTTTTGTTCCAATAGAGTAGGAGGTAGAGAGAGAGAGAGAAACATCGATGTGAAAGGGACACATCAAGTGGTTGCCACCCACACGACCCAACCAGGGCCGGGGACAAACTGCAACCGAGGTACGTGCCCTTAGCAGAAACCGAACCCAGGACGCTATGGACCGCAGGCCGACGCTCTAACCGCTGAGCCAAACCAGCCAGGACTCCTTGTGTGACCTTTAAAACGGAAGTACCTTGGTCACAGAGACCAGGAATTATCTTTACTCTGAGGCAGTCACAGCATCAACCACACATCATACTACTCTTATTTCCTTTGGTGCTGGCCCCTGAGGTTTACTCTTTAAACCTTTAGCACAATCTTTAGTCAGCCATATAGTTCAAAGGGTGTTTACCATGTTTTAGCCAGCATTCCTCACAACTGTAAACTAAGGCTCGGCTAATTATCTTGTTTGCTGGAAATGGAAGTGTAGAAACAAACTTGACCGTCTTCTGTCATTTTTTTTTTTTACATTGTCATCAAAACTGAACATGATGCTCCAGTTCTGTTGTCTAATCACTTTAGAACACTACCTCATCATCTGGGCACTACTTATCCACCAGATGTTTTTCTCAATTAAATTACATCACATTATTATGTGCAACATTTTATAAATAAGGAAACTGAAGCATGTCAGCCTGAGGTCACACAGCAAGGACCAAGACCAGATCTTTCCATTGTCAGCTTTGGAATAAGTCTCTAATGTGTCAGGAAAGAGAAGATAAAGATCTAAGGAAATATTTAACAAGCACCTCCGATGTGCCAGCTCTAGAATATGAGATACTGGACAATGGCCGTATAACACAAGACAGGTCTTATCCCAGTTGAATAGATGAGGGAAATTAAAGCTCAGAAAGGTTAAATCACTTCCTTAAGGTTCTTCCTTAGCATTAGAGCTAAATTGACTACAAAAAACCCCCAATTTTCTTCCTTCAACACCAGGGACCAGCAGCTTACTCTGTAAAAGGCCAGATAGTAAACATTTTAGGCTGTGCAGGCCACATGGCCTCTTCACTGCTGCAGTGTAAAAGCAGACAGTGGGGAACACAAGAATGAGCATGGCAGCATTCCCAAAAACTATTTTAGAATTGAAATTTGAATTTCATAGAATACGTCACAAAATATTATTCTTTTGATTTGTTTCAATCATGTAAAAATATAAAATGCATTCTTAACTCACAGGCCACACAAAAGCAGGCAGCAGGCTGGATGAGGCCCATGAACAAATGGTTTGTCAGCCCCAGCTCTGCACTATACACCTTCTGCGAAGTGACGTTCTCCAACGTCTTTGTTTCAAATGTCCCTTTACTAGGCCAGCAAAGGCAAGGGGAACAGAGGGGCACAGGTTCTTTCTGGACTCTCGGCGACTGAGGGGACTGTTGCTGGACAGCCCCTCACACTTACAGCAGCAACATGCAGTTGTGGAAATGTCTTGTTTCAATGTTAAATGTTTTTTTTCATGTTTATTTTAGCCTATCTTCAAAATTAAACTATAAGATCATTTAGGAAAGATGACTATCTTCTTTTTAAATTTCCTTTAATGTTTAATAGTCTATGTACAGTAGGTGCACAATAAGTATTAACTGATGAATATTAGTCAAGTATTATCCTTATTTCATTCACAGATTGTTAGGTAGTCAATGGGTATAATATATAAGTAATTCAATGAAATGAAAAATATAAACCCTGGCCGAGTAGCTCAGTTGGTCAGAGCGTGGTTGAGCGTGGTCCCGATACACCAAGGTTGTGGGTTTGATCCCTAGTCAGGGCATGTACAAGAATCAACCAATAAATGCATAAATAAGTGGAACAACACATCAATGTTGCTCTCTCTGTCTCTCTCCTTCCCTCTTGAAAAATAAAAAAGCATCTATTAACAAAAAAGAAAACAATATAGAAGTCAGGCTATTTGTATGATTCAACTGAACAAAATAATCATTTCCTTTTAATTTACTAAAAAGAGACAATTATGAAAAATATTTCTTGGCCCTACCTTTTTGTCCCAATAGTTAGAGCATTTGCATGTGAATACTAAGTCTGACATTCCTTTCTTCCCTAGAACCACTTTGGAGATCTGGATGGTGGCCACTACACTGCTTTCTGCAAGAACTCAGTGACCCACGCCTGGTTTAGCTTTGATGACACAAGAGTCAGTGAGATTCCAGATACATCAGTTCAAACCGCGACAGCGTATCTCCTGTTCTATAGCTGCCAGCCCTTTTCTATACCTATAGAAAAATGCAAGAGCTAGGAAAATGGTGTTTCCTGAAAGTTGCAAAACAAGCAATCAGAAACTGGTACTTAAGTTTTGCCTAGTAATTAAATTCTTGCAACTTACTTGCATCACTATTTTTCTTTCTGGCATATTATGCAACTTATATAAGTCTATAGCCAAGAAGATGGGTCCTGGCACAGTGAAAAAGGCAGCATGAAAATAAATAATGCAATGCTAATGCATGGGGGCCTTCTAAGCACTGCAGATTATGTAGTGAGTGTAGGCTTCAAAACTCCATGTTTGCCCTGGCCGGTTTGGCTCAGCGGTTAGAGCGTCGGTCTGAGGTCCCAAGAGACCCGGGTTCGGTTCCCGCTAAGGGCATGTACTTGGGTTGCAGTTTGTCCCCAGCTCTGCTTGGGTCGTGCGGGTAGCAGCCACTCGATGTGTCCCTTTCACATCGATGTTTCTCTCTCTCTCCCTCCCACTCTATCTGAATAAAAAAATGGAAAAATGTCCTCGGATGAGGATAAAAAAAAAAAAAAAACTCCATGTTTATTAGGGTGGATTTTTATCATAAAGTATCTCATTATTATATATATGTGTACTTTTATATATATCCAACAAATTATTTTCCAAAGATACTTAATGGAACAAAAAGACTTTTGTTCTAGTGGTTCTGTGACCTTAAGAATGTGAAGGGAAAACATTTAATTGCTCAGATAATTTAGCCAAAAAAACTGTCTCTTAGACTAATTGCCGAACATGAAAAACTGTCAGTGTCACAATTCAAAACGCATCCTTTCATCTTCTTGGAAGTACAGTAATGGTGCTATCTTTCAGAAGCACCTTTAGAATCTTTTTATAAGTAGTGTTTTAACTGACTTCATGTATAGCAACTGAGTCCCTGAGGTAAAGGATAAATTCTAAGCTTCTCTCTTCCTTTCAATGCATCTCTGTAAAGATGTGGTGCACAATGCAGCTCACTTTGCATTATGAACCACATGCCCGACTCCTACTCCTTTTCATCTTAATCCTAAGAATTCTAGTCGTGATAGAATGTGTCTAGGTATATCTTACTATGACTCCCAACTCTGAGAGACCTAAGTGCTATATACAGTTCCTGGTCAAGTTGGAGAAAGAGTGGAATTGAGTCCTGATGCTAACAAGGTAGGTAAACTAAATTTTAAGCTAATGTAGTGGGATAAAAAGTATGTGTGTGTGTATAAAACCTATAGTTAGTTCTATTCCTGTATTTGATAATATAAAATTAAAGACAGAACACTTAAAAGGTTTTAAATTATTTTTCTCATTAAGATTTTAATGTAGGTGTAAATGAAAATTTTCATTTTAGAAAATTAAAGAAAAGTTTCCATTTATTTTTTTAGAATGATTTAGTGCACAAGTACAGCCCAAAGCCAAAAGAAAAATAGCTTTGTCCTGTCATTTCCCTAAGAAAGCACTGAAGTTACTCAGAATAGGCCAAAAGGAAAAAAAGGCAATCCCTTGAGTTCTAGATTTCACGAAAGGACCACATGATACTATATACATCGATTTGATGTGCAAGTGTGCAATAAATATATACACATACATTCCTATCTGCTTTATATCATTCTAGAGTGTTCATAGATGAAGCTGAGATTTAGAAATGTGAAAAGGCCATAACAGTGAAAATGAAAATAAAGGATACAAGGGTTTTTAGACCAGTAGAATAATGCTTAGCTAGTTACTTTGGAACAAACTAAAAAAGTTATTATGGAATAAATGGTACCTCTAAGAAGTGCTGAATGCAATATTGTTAAATGTTATTAGTTGGGTTTTTGATAATAGCCCTGACCTGAAAGACATGGTGATGGTGACACAGCTCTCACTGTCTCAGAATCCTCTGAATGGCAGCTGTAAGCTGTCCAGTATCTTTATAAGCATTTCAAGAGCTGTGTTGCTCAGCCATTTAAAAGACAACTAGTTTATAACCTACTTCCTCTTATGTGGCTATATCAGTTGCTCGTGGTCCCAAGGAAGTATAAAAGAGGATATAAGCTGCTGAAGATTTCACAGAAGACACGGAGATATCAGAAACTTCATGATCATCAAATTTAAACCATCGCTGTCTTGCTGCATTTTTACAATAGGCAGTGTAGTGGCCTCCATCCAGTCCACCATAGTGATTCTGTGCCAAACAAAAGAGAAAAGTCAATTCAAATTGAATTATTTAAAATATGTCAATAATTTCAAAGCTTTATGTTGTTCTTACTTGCCTATGACATAAGAAACCATTTGAAACTTTTTATTTTTAGTTTGCTTTGAAAGAAAAATTATTTGGTTCAATGACATACTTACTGAAACAGAAAACAAGTTGTATTTCTTTAAACTGTTCTTTGGACCAATAACATACTGTGACAAGTCAAGATTTTCTAAAGGAAAGTCCACAGATGTCTGTAATTTTTGCTTCCACCTCCCATCATAGGAAAAACTGCAAAGCCAAACATTAAAGCAATTATTATAGGACAGATGAAAGACATCAGAATGAACCCTAATTCATTTGTTAACAACCTAGACTTTTATCCAAGAACACAAAATTCATTTCAATCACACACTCAGACTTTTAGTAGTGGAGGGATATTTGGCACATTTGGTTTCATTTCTATTTTACAAATGAGGAAAACAAGGCACATAGATATTAAATGGCTTGCCCAAGGTCAAACAGCTAGAAGGGCAGAGGTAAGGTCACTCCTTGATCCCTGGTCTAGCTAGAATTGTTAGATGCATCCTCTAAAAAAATAAACAGTTATAAAAACCCACATTTATACTGCTAATCACTAACAAAGTACTGAGGAAAGAGAGGAGAGCTGCTCTAGAGTGAAGCTTGCACTTTTGGAAAAACTAGAGCAGGAAACTGCAAGCAGGTAGACTAGTGATCAAAATAAATCACTGCGTTATCCTGGCACACACTGCTTATTTATTTATTTAAAATCCTCAGCCGAGATTTTTCCATTAATTTTTTAGATAGAGTGGGAGGGTGGGAGAGAGAAACATTAGTTGGTTGCTTCCCAGACAACCTAACTGGGTCCAGGGATCAAACCTGTAACTTCATTCCATGGGCTGATGCTCTAACCGCTGAGCCAAACAGGCCAAGGCCACACTCTGCTCCTTTAAATACCAAAATACTGGTAATACTGGTGTTTTGGTTGGTGTAATATGGTTATTTCAGAACTATTTTTAAAAAACCTGAATTCTGAACCATTTATATTTTTAGATATTCTCCAAGAGTAATATGCAGCATTAAAAATTTTTAACAGAACAAGTGTGTAATTATTTGTATCTATACCTCGTCCTCAAGAAGAAAAGTACAACTGATAGAAATTTTCTGTTAGAAAATTTACACAAGAGGAATCTGAACATGTCAGTGTTCAAATGAACATAACTGCCTAAGAAGATGAAACAAACATGAAATAGAAATGCTTTCTTTGAAACAAAAATTATAGCTCTCAATAAAAAAATGAAATTTCCTTTTTAAAAGTTTTTCCAAAAAATGACTCAAAGTTACCATTCCACAGATGGATTACATAAAGACAAAGAATCAGAGTAGAAGACCTGAGACATATTTTACAACTCCCTCTCATTATTACTTCAACTACGATAGGCAGATCTTTTTCACTGGCTTGAAAAATCTGGAGAGAACTATGTCTGCACTCAAAAATGTCATCTTAAAATTGTACCTTTAAAATATCACTTTAAAAATCATATAGTCGATTTTTAGCATGAGATTTAAATCTTTTGTTTATTATTTGAATGATACAAATTTTATGTGCTAATATGTTTGAGTTACGTAACATTTTAATACATTTTCACTTGTTTTGCAATGACTTAATTTTATGTTGAAATACAATAATTTAGTTTAATTGATTTTTGAAGGCAGAATTACATGAAAGAGTGGTGCTATCATTTTGCTTTGTTATATCCCAACCAGATAATCTTCCTTGATTATGCATCCTTAGCAGGCAGTACAACAAAGTAACTCAGATAAAGGATTTAGAATTCCTTCATCTAAACTGTACTAAACAGGTAGAAAAATGTGTGCTTTTTACCGTTTCAGATGCACTAAAAGCACAGGTGGCAACTTCCAGATTTCTATCTTTTTTAGAGAATCCCTTCGAGCTCTGCAATGACTGCAGTAAAACCTGTTGTTATCTGTGAGTTTTTCTTCTTTGGAAAATAACCTAAGGCAATCCTGGAGGGCAAAAAGAATAGTAGATACTCATTAATTCACTTCTTTAACACGGAATCACTGAGCATCTATTTAGTAAGTTACTCTGCCTGGCATGAAGGAAACACCAGTAAAAGAGAACAAAACAGTCCCTGCCCTCATAAAGTTTATGATCTGGGGAGGAATGCAGACCAGAGCCCTAACCTGACAACAGTGTGGGGATGCTGCCTGTGGTGACAGGAAGCAGCACTGTGTCTTCCGAGAGCCCATCCACCTGGGGGATCAGGGACGTCTTACTGGAAGAAATGACATCCTCAAGAAAGCTAACTAGAGATCAACAAGTGATCTAAATCACATTGCTGCTGTGTGGAAAACAGGACATTTGACACCCCCATGTAAAGCAAATTCTTATAAAAAGCAGACCTAAAGTCAACATATAATTTTCCATATTAACTTTAAAAAGACCTATTATTTATCAACTCCAAAAGAATATTTAATAAGAAAACATCTTTAAAAGAGAAAAAATTCTTTTTTGTGGAAATTTTTTTCTAATCTACATAGGCCTAATTAAAATAATTCATGTGTGAGTTTTACCTATAGCCTGTTTATAGGGGTAAAAAAAATTGCTGAATAAAGTATATCTCTATATGCACATACACAGCATTTTTATTCAGCAACTTATTTTCTCTCAATCATAAACTTACCTGTAATGTACATTTACTAGTGGATGCTAGTGGTAGAGACAAGTACATGAAGGCCTCAAATGTCCTAGACTTTCTGTGACAGGTGAGGCACTGTACTGTGGATTTGAACTGACCCTGGAAAAGTGCAACAATAATAGATTCATTGAGCTGCTTGTGTTTCTGCCAAGCGCTTTCTGCTGCTTTAAAGTCATCAAGATGATCATTATTTTCTTCTTTATGTCGCTTTCGATTATCAGCCTGGAAATAAGATTATTTAAACTCTGTATTAATATCTCAAAGTCAACATTAAAATATAAAAATACAAACACTTTGTAGATTTAGAAACACTTTTGGAGTTCTAATTTCAAAAGCAGTACAAAAAAATTCTAACCAGAAAACACTCCCCAGAAACCGAAAACCCACTTTATCAAAAGGGTGTGACTTGTTGGAATTGCTTAATAAAATTTTATTTAAAAAGCTGAAAAATCTGGCTTTAAAAACACATGCTACATGTAGCTGGAACTACAACTAGACAGATATTATTCTGTTGTCCTGGTCTCAGGGATGAACACATACAATACATATATTCACATATGTATGTATATGTATGTACAGAGGACAGTTTGGTGCTAAAAAGGAGCCAGTATTCAAACAGATTTGCCATTTATGTAGAGATACATGCCTCAGTAACAACTTTTCACATGAGTTATTTGTGGTTACATGGAGCAACTTATTTTAGAAAAAAGTGTTAAGAATAAGAATGTAATATAATAATACATAAAGAATATAATACATATAATATGCAATAATATGTAGTATATAAATGTAATAAAAAAGATGTTCAGGCTGTCTATAGCTTATCTTTTATAAAACCATATGTTTATAATTTCCCTTTCACATACACATGGGTCACAAACAGTATTTCTAACAACTACTTTAACATTTATAAATTTCTCACAATAATACAACCTGGTAACATTTTAGTGAGTAAATATAAATTTTAACTACTGTTCAAATACTGGGCCTATCAGATAGGTGTTTCATAGTTCCATGCTTTAGTACTAAGTCACTAGATGTGAATAAACTAGCACTGAACAATCACCAACTATAATTTTAAATTGCTATAAAAATGATTCCAGTGTTTAGCAATCCTAAAGAACCTTTGCAAAAAATAAAAATTCTTACTTTATTTAGATCTTCATGGAGACCGTCCATTAGGAACAGAAGCAGTTCTTGTGAATCTTGCTGGCTGTATCCTGCAAACTGGTCATTGATCTTCCCAATGGTGATTTTAAAGTCTTTCGGACTGATGTACCTGTACTGTCCTGTCCACAGTGCTTTCATGATTATGCCAAATTCTTCCGCCACTTCACCTTTATGCCCCAACAAATTTGACCTTGGCAAATAAAGTTATAAACAAGCAATAAAGGAAATTGTAAGAAGTCAACGTAGAGCCTGACTGGTGTGGGTCAGTGGACTGTTTTCCCATGCACCAAGAGGTCGCTGGTTTTATTCCCAGTTGGGACACATGCCCTGGTTGTGGGTTCAATTCCCAGTAAGAAGCAGCCGATGGATTATGTTTCTATCTCTCTCTCCCTCTCCCTTCCTCTCTAAAACCAATAAAAAATAAAAGTGTATTTTTAAAAAAGTCAAGGTACCGTGGGATCCTGATGTCAGCATTAAACTATAAACATACTATGACTCTACACTAAAATACTTTTTCACAGGTTTATTAACAAATACTCATCTGAATCTTACTTTGAACACCCTTCCAGCTGGCTTCTTTTTGGCTGTCAGCCCTGCCCTGTCTCTTCCTCATCAACAGGCTCCAGCTTGTCTGTGAGGTTGTCTCTTGCATTGCTCCTTTCCTGTATGTCCTTGAGCTATCAGAAGCTTTTCTCTACATTTTTCTAAAGAATAAAGGTATTTTCCCCTTTCCTAATCTGACTTCTCTGGAAGGAGGTGGGTGGTTACATCACTCTTTGACTATTATATTGCAAAAAGTAAGACATTTCTTTACCTGTTAATATCATCCTGATAACAGTTTCGGTTGAAATAATCAGCCAAATGTGGAGCATTACATAGGCACTGCAGTATTGAGTTCATGTAACAAGTATTTCCTAAATTACGAAGTCCGGTGAGAGCTGGTCCAGATCCTCCAAACACAGGATTGAGGTTCCGAATCTTAGAAGCAGAAAGCCTTGTGATCTCAGCTTTAGGGTAGCATGTTGGCCTGAGAAGAAAAAGCAAATGAGATGTCTTAGAATGCACAGCATGTGGAAATAAGGTTTAAATTACAAATGGCAGCAAACTCCAGCATGTGTACCACAATACACAGTAGTCTTGTTAAGTGTTAATAAGTTAGCTCTTAAGGTACTAGGTCTTATAGAACACTTACTATCTAGGTGGCCCATATTCTGTGACCCTCCCATTGAAACAAATACCATTAACCTCTTTTGTGGGTCCATGGTTCTTACAGACATCCTGAGATAGATTCTCTGGCTTCTCAAGAACAGGTAGAGTCTTCTAGTAAAGAAGGCTCTTTTAAATTCGTTTAAATGATTCTGGGAAGTTCAGTATTACCAAATGTTGAACTCAACAGGATGCCAAAAAAGGAGTAAAACACACACACAGGGGCAGGCAAAAGTAGGTTTACAGTTCATATGGAAAACACATCAATAAATAATACAAGAATAAACACTGTTTTGTGTACTCACAACTGTAAACCTATTTTCCCCATCCTGTACATTCCTGTGGAGTAGATCAATGGAGAGAAAGGTTATTTGGGTACTATTCCCTAAAGCTGAGAGCTGTGCTGACAAATACGGTAGCCACAGGTGGCTATTTAAATTTAAAATAAAATAAAAAATTCTGCTCCTCAGTTACACTAGCCACTATCCAAAGTGGCCACGACCATACTGGACAGCACAGATATAGAACATTTCTTTTTTTTTATCCTCACCCGAGGACATTTTTCCATTTTTTGTTTGGATAGAGTGGGAGGGAGAGAGAAGAAGAGAGAGAGAGAGAGAGAGAGAGAGAGAAACATCGATGTGAAAGGGACACATTGAGTGGCTGCCACCCGCATGACCAACCAGGGCCAGGGACAAACTGCAACTGAGGTACGTGTCCTTAGTGGGAACCGAACCCGGGTCTCTCTGGACCACAGGCTGACGCTCTAACCGCTCGGCCAAACTGGCCAGGGCAGATACAGAAAATTTCTATCAAACACGCCTACTGCACAGCACTAAGCTAGCCAGTGCTTCCCAAGACTTTGTTACTTAGGATATTTGATTTATATGTGGAACTTCTACAACTACAACAGCACTGAGAAAAATCTTAACTGGTAGGTCTTTCTTTGATTATTAACCCTAATCATTAATATTTCCACCCTGAAAGGAATATTGAGAATACAATGAACTATATTTCTATTGTTTTTCTTTACATTGTGCTCAGGTGAATGCACTCATGTACTCTTTCTCTGTTCAATATATATAAAAATACATAAAGTGCATATGTCTTTAAAACTGTCAAATTAACAAACTTGATTAAGAATGATGATGCAAGAATGAATTATATCTGATCAGTTTTTTTTGTTTTTTTTTTAATCCTCACCCAAGGACATTTTTCCATTCTTTGCACAGATAGAGTGGGAGGGAGAGAACGAAAGAGAGAGAGAGAGGGAAACATCGATGTGAAAGGGACACATCGAGTGGCTGCCACGCGCACGACCAACCAGGGCCGGGGACAAATTGCAACCGAGGTATGTGCCCCTAGCGGGAACCGAATCCGGGTCTCTCCGGACCGCAGGTGGACGCTCTAACCGCTGAGCCAAACCGGCCAGGGCTATAGCTGATCAGTTTTAATAGTGAGCCCTAAAATCTGTAAATAGATTTACAGATTAAAAAAAAATCTCCAGCTCAGCCAGTGTGCCTCAGTGGATTGAGTGTCATCCCATGGACTGAGAAGTTCCAGTTCAATTCCCAGTCAATACACATGCCCGGGGTTGTGGGCTCGATCCCCAGTAGGGGTGTGTGCAGGAGGCAGCCAATGGTTGTTTCTCTCTCACATTGATGTTTCTATCTCTCCCTTTCTCTCTCTAAAAAAATCAATAAAAACATTTAAAAAAAAATCTCCAAGTTCCCAATTGGTAGGGTTAAGTTCTCATGAGAAAAATGTATTAACTACATATTTGGGAAGTATTACCAAAGAGGTCAAAAAGCCTAGTTGGAATTCTTTAGCAACTGAGAGGGTATATATTATAAACAGAAAAACACATCACTTCTCTGCCTTTTGCTAAGATCAAGTGTAGTATCTGTTCTTATCAGTTTAGTAAACAGAAAAACAAAGCCATTTATTTACACTTCCAAAAGTGGACTTAACTATTATCTCCTTATAACCTTATCAATCACAAGCCAGGAACATTATTCAAAAAGGGATTAAAGCCAGGAACACATCTAATGAGATACTGTTTGGGGAAACATATATGAACCTATGGATTACTATTTGTGAATAGAATAGCAGAAATGCAATGAAGGAAAAGGGAACAGGATAAGGATTAGTAGCTGACACAGTATAATGCTCATTATTTTAATACTATATAAGTTTGCTCCCATAATACTGGCTGACTTAAAAAAGTTCTAGGTAGTCATAATATATATACCTTTATATCCACATGAATACTTATAATAGTCTTCTCTGACATATTTAAGTTAGTAACTGGGAAAAAGACCAAAGACATTTTAATCCAGGAATTTATTCTTTCTGCTATGGTAAATAACAATGGTTGGTATAGCCATCCACAGAAATTCTGACTCCCTGACATAAATAAGCTGATATGTTTAGAATAGTTTTCAAATAAAACAAATTTTTCTAGTTTTAGGAGTTGGGATAAACTTACTTGTTTTCCCGATTCACTGTTGGAGTCGCTATAGACTTCCTCTTCTCTTCCTCCTGGACGGCCTGGGTTATATCTGGAGAGGAGTAGGAGCGCTTCAGCTTGGAGGGCTCCCTCTCCCGCTCAGCAGGAATCTGTGGCTTGGCTCTATGAGTTGGAGGGGTGGGAGGAGGTGCAGATGAAGGAGCCATCTCCGGTGGATACACATGAACAGTGTTGGTAGGTGAATGATAATAACGAAAAGTTCCAGTGATTGGGTCAAGAAACTTAGTTGGAAAAAAACAAAAAAACAAAAAACAGGTAAAAAAACAATGACCATTACATGAACAAAAAAAATCACTCAAAAGTATTTGTTAAATTTGCTTTTGGGTTAAAACAATTGAATAAATGGTGAAAATCACTTCTATAATTAAGCTTTCAAAGCACTTTAGGTTTTAAAGTAATACACTGTTTCTAAATGACAAATGCCAGGAATGCTCATATATTATAGCCAGTATCTCGGATTGGATACTCAGAAATCTAACCCTGCTGTAATTAGGGTAATGAACTAGATCCTCCATAATGAAGAAACAGAACTGAGTGCATTAGAGAAGATGTAGAATAAAAAAAAAAACCTTTTTAAAAAAGAACACAATGATCATGTTATTTACTTCTGTGCTAATTTTTAGTTTTACCTTTGCCCAGCCTAAAGGCAGTCCTGGTATGATCCTCCCCATTTCTTCACTTCGTGCTCTTGTCAAAGGCTCTCGAGCCTAGTTTATTTAAAAAAGAAAAAGAAATATCTGATTTTCTAATTAAATTTTGTCATATACAAATTTAAGCTGCTTGTACCAGAGAACCAAAAGCCTTGTGTTGGCTACCCTTAACATAATATATATTATATGTGTGTGTATGTATGTGTGTATGTGTGTGTGTGTGTGTGTGTATGTATGTGTATATATATTTACATATGTTTTTATTGATTTTAGAGAGAGAGGAAGGGAGAGGAAAAAACACTGATGTAAGAGAGAAACTTTGGTTGCCTCCCACACATACCCTGATGATCAAACCTGCAACCTGGGTATATGCCCTGACTGAGTTGGTGACCCCTCTGTGCGTGAGATGATGCTCAACCAACTGAGCCACCCGGACTGGGCTACCCTTAATATTTTAAAAATAAGTTCAGCCCAGCTGGGGTGGCTCAGAGTACTGAGCATCGTCCCATGGACTGAGAGGTGCCGGTTCCATTCCTGATCAGGGTACATGCCCAGGTTGCAGGCTTGATCCCCAGTGAAGGGCATGCAGGAGGCAGCCAATCGATGTTTCTCTCTCACATTGGTTTCTATCACTCTCTAAAAAATCAATAAAACACATTTAAAAAAAGTTAGAAGATGAATTATATCTGTTTTCTCAAAGTCCAAATATCACAGGAAGAGGAAGAGAAGGGTGTGTGTTCAAGCCTATGATAGTGGTCTTTAAAAGTTTCTTTAAAAAACAAAAACACAAAGATAAAACCACTTCTAGTTATCAACCCAGAAGAAATGAAAACATATTTCCATACAAAAACTTGTATGCAAATGTTCACAGCAGCATTATTCATGACAGCCCCAAAGTAGAAGCAATCCAAAAGTCCATCAATTAATGAATGAATAAAATGAGGTATACCCACACAAGGGAATACCACTTAGCAATACAAAGGAATAAACTACTAATACATGCTATAATAGATGAATCTTAAAAAAGTATGATAGGTGAAAGAAGACATATGCAAAAGACTATAAATACACACACACACACTATAAAATAACTTCATTTATATAAAATGCCAGGAGACAACTCTATGGAGAAAGTAGAAGGTTGGGCTTATGGGTGGGAAGAGGGAATGACTACAACTAGGCACAGAAATCTTTTTGGTGTGATGGAAATGTTCTAAAGTTTGATTGAACGAATAATTTTTTCTCAACTTTGAACTGAAATCACTGAACTGTACACTAAATTGGATGAATTTTATGGAATGCATATTACCCTTAAATAAAGCTAAAAACAAAGGGAAAAATGCCACAAAAAAGCCTACATATTTCAAACACTGTAATAAAATATAAAGTTTATACCTTAACCATTTTAAATGTGCAGTTAAGTGGCATAAGTATATTCACATTGTTGCACAACCAATCTCCACAACTCTCTTGATCTTGCGAGACTGAAACTCTATACCCATTTAAACAACTGTCCACTCCCCGCATCTGTGGACTTGTGGCAATCCCCACTCTAATTCCTGTCTCCATGAATTTGATTTCTCTAGGTTCCTTATATAAACTAAGTAACAGCTTGTCCTTTAGTGACTGGCTTATTTACTTAGCATAACAACCTCAAGATTTATCCATGTAGTAGCATATGTCAGAATTTCCTTCCTTTTGAAGGCTAAGTAATATTCTACTGTTTGTACATACCACATTTGTTTATGCATTCACCTGCTGATGGATAGATACTTGGGATGCTTCCATCTTTTAACTACTGTGAATAATACTGCTATGAAAAATGAATGTATAAATATCTCTTTGAAGCTCTGCTTTCAATTTTTTAGGGTATAGATCCAGAAGTAGAATTGCTGGATCATATAGTAAGGCCTAAGTCTTTTAATTTCATAAAATGAATAGAATATACTGTTGTACTTTAAATAGGAAGACAAATAGCATGTAATCATGTAAAATCTAGCACAAATCAGCTACCAGAGGTAGCCAAGATTCTCTCAAAGAGTAGATCTTAAGATGGTGAATGAGAAAGGAGGAGGGTAATGGGAGGAAAACGAGGGGACATCTGTAATACTCTCAATAAAGATTAAAAAAAAAAAAAAAAAAGATGGAGAATGAATGACAGGATAACGATAAACACATGGTATATTATAATCCATGTTTTATTCCCACCCAAGGAACTACTACTTACTTTATTTCTTTCAGTGTCTTCTGTATTCTCTCTAAAAGTTCCAGTCTTTAGAATTCCACTTTCTGGCTGTCCTTTAATCTTTACAGGCTGTAATAGTATTAAAATTTCAGAAGTGAAAACAAACAAACAAAAAACAACCTTGAATTTTCCTCCAGTGTACTATCACTATATATGTATATATACCTATGACTAGGTAATACAAGCAAATCCTTCAGACTAAAAATGTAAAAGGATAAAAAACTGAGGCTTCTGAAAAGTTTATACCATTTTATTGTCAAAGTAGATTTTTTTCTATACTTAATTGGATTTTTAATTTTAAAAATTGTTGAAAGTATTACAGATGTCTCCCCTTTCCCTCCACTGACCCCCTCCACTTCAATTCTGCCCTTCCCCCTGCCTTCATTGCACTGTTGTCTATATCCACTGGTTATGCATATATGCACAGAAGTTCTTTGGTTAATCTCTTCCCACCCTTCCTCCCCCATTTCCTCTGAGATTCGTCTGTTTCCTGCTTCCATGTCTCCGGATCTATTTTGTTCATCAGTTTATTTTGTTCATTAGATTCCAGATATAAATGAAATCATGTGATACTTGTCTTTCTCTGACTAGCTTAAGTGGAGAAAAGAGAACCCTAGTACACTACTGGTGGGAATGCAGACTGGTACAGCCACTATGGAAAACATGTAGTTTCCTCAAAAAATTAAAAATTGATCTGCCATTTGACCCAGTGATCCCACTTCTAGGATTTAATCCCAAGAAGCCTGAAATACCAATCAGAAAGAATATATGTACCCCTATGTTCATAGCAGCACTATTTACAATAGCTAAGATCTGGAAACAGCTCAAAGTAGATTCTTTAAATAAAAGGTGGTAGAGCCAACGTGGGATTTCCTAAGACTAAAGTTAAGCGCTAAAAAACCTTGATGAATCAGTAGGGTGAAAAAACAGATGCAGCCTTGGCCGGTTTGGCTGCATCTGTTTTTTCAGATACAAGTCACAGTGGGTTGTAAAGCACTGATTCATAATACATGGTGAAATACAAGACGCTGGTCATTAGCATAACTCATCAAGGCCTGTTTTGGACATTATATGTTTTTATTTAAATCTCATATGATTATGGTTACCTTGAAAGTGATATGTTCCCCAAAAAACAATGTACTAAAGAGAATGAAGAGATTGTGAAATTTTATACAGAGTAATATTCAAAAGTGCAAAATCCTCTTGGAACATATCATAGTTTCCTTTTAAAATCACTTTAATTTTAGCCCTGGCCGGTTTGGCTCAGCGGTTGGAGCGTCGGCCTGTGGTACAGAGAGACCCGGGTTCGGTTCCCGCTAAGGGCACGTACCTTGGTTGCAGTTTGTCCCCGGCCCTGGTTGATCGTGCGGGTGGCAGCCACTCGATGTGTCCCTTCACGTCAATGTTTCTCTCTCTCTCCCTCCCGCTCTATCTGAACAAAAAATGGAAAAATGTCCTCGGGTGAGAATAAAAAAATAAAAATAAATAAATAAAATCACTTTAATTTTATAGTTCATTTAAAAAAATAACTACAGTAAAGTAAAAAGTTAAAAATATGTAATTATTTTAATAAAATTTATTCTAGGATAAATTACATATTTTGTTCACTTTTAAAAGCATACAATGAATATAATCTTAATTTTTTTCAATGTGTTACAAGAAACATCAAAACAGCCATGGCTGGTTTGGCTCAGCGGTTAGAGCGTTGGCCAGCGGTCCAGAGAGACCTGGGTTCGGTTCCCACGAAGGGTATGTACCTCAGTTGCGGTTTGTCCCCGGCCCTGTTTGGGTCGTGCGGGAGGCACTCAGTGGATGTGTCCCTTTCACGTCGATGTTTCTCTTTCTCTCTCTCTTCTTCTCTCTCCCTCCCACTCTATCTGAACAAAAAATGGAAAAAATGTCCTCGGGTGAGGATAAAAAAAACATCAAAACTATGTGATAATCTCAGGGATATTTAAATCTGTAGGGCTATTTGGCACCTGTACTAAATGACTCCAGAAATATGAATGCTTTAAGTTCTTATGACTGCCTACCTCTAAGTAGAGGAAGATGAAAAGGAAATCACTTTGGAATCTCACTGCATATATGATCTTAGGCAAATTACTTAATCTCTGAGCTTTAATTTCATTTGTAATTGAATACCTCATGGAATTATCATTAGGAGAAATAAGTAAAATACTGTAGGAAAAACACTGGCATACAGTAAATACTCAATAAATAATATTGAAATTATAAGAGCTCAAAAATTCTGATTCTCCTATGAATCAAGTATTAGTATATGGGCTTCATTTCTCTAACTTTGTGTGTTTAGAAGGTTTTTGTATGACAGTTATAGTTTTGATAAGCCATGTTTCCAGATAAAAGTTCTCTGGATAAGTGAGACACTAGTATAAATAGTTAATTTTGGTATATGTCTGAACTGGGCTTGAGAAGCGTAGAAATTAATAATCTGCAAATACAGTATTTCACTTTCCATCAAAAGTAATTTTCATACTATTAAAAATGCATTTCCATTTACATGTACATAAAAAGGGCTAAACTATTCCTGCTATTATAGAAACTTAGTGTTCAAAAGGGAAAAGCATTGTTAATTGCATAACAGAGAAGAAAACTGATAAAAAATGTCCCCCATAGTTATGTAAATCAATTTTCGGGGATAGCCCAGGGCAGAGAAAGGCAACATTAATGGGGTTATTGCCAGCATTCTTTTTTTTTTTTCATTTTAATTTTATTGTTGAAAGTATTACATATGTTCTCTTTTCCCCCACTGACCCCCTTCTTCCCACTCCTACCCGCCTCCTGCACCAGTATTCTTGATCACATGATGCAGCAAACAAAATGTCAGATCTTCCCCCTTACCCCCCAAAAAAAGATTGTACACAAAAACAAATGTTAGGCCATTTAGATGTCACTGATTTTGGACATAATCTAAGCAGATACAAACTCCATCATATAAATACTGGGCATCTAATTCCTCCATACAGAAAGGAAGAGTGTATTTCATTATGGTCTTTTGATGATCAGAATAAAAAGAATGTACCTATATTCATTTCAATTATTAAAAATGTTCCTTTCACAGACACAAAGAGAATTTCATTCCCCAAAGTAGAGTAGGTAAGCCGGGTTGGTGTGTCTCAGTGGACTGAGCATTGTCCCATGAACTGAGAGGTCCTGGTTCAATTCCCAGCCAGGGCACACCCTGGGTTGCGGGCTTGATCCCCAGTGGAGGTTGTGCAGGAGGCAGCCAATCAATGTTTCTCTCTTACATCGCTGTTTCTCTCTCTCTCTCTCTCTCTCTCTCTCTCTCTCTCTCTCTCTCTCTCCCTTCCACTCTAAAAAAATCATTATAAACATATTTAAAAATAAAAAAAGGAGAGTAGGTGAGCAAATGCAGACAGATCAGTACAAATCTATCACCCCTTAGACAACTACTTAAAATGCCTGCCCTATTTATGGAATGCTACTGATGTCACCTTTTTATGTCCATTTTACTTCCCTTAGTTGGCAATTTATCCTGTTTGTTTCTGCTTACCTTGCCTGAACTCGAATCTCCTAGCACAGAGGCATGGGGCACATCTCCCACTGACTTTTTCTGTACGTCAGGGGTTGGACACTTTGTTCCTCTATCTTCCACAGATTTCTTGGCATCGGTAGTTTCATGCTCACTTTTACTTTGTCTTTTTACTCCTGTTATTTCTCTGCCCCTCTTTGCTGAGGTTTCTTTATCTTCTTTCTTGGCCTGTTCACTTTCTCTCTTTTCCAGTTCTTCTTTCGCCTTTTGTTGTTTCTCTGTGATTTCATTTTCTTCAGCTTCTTGTTTCTTTCTGGCTTTTTGTTCCTGTTCTTCTCTCCTCAGTTTCTCTTTCTGCTCCTCTTGCTGTCTTTCTCGAAGTTCTTTTTCTTGTTTGTTTTTCTCCATTAAAAGGGCAGTTTCTGCATGAATACGAGCTTTTTCTTCATCTGTTAACATAGCAGTTGGAGGGGAAAGTACTGGCTTTGTGGAACGATCAGGAACAACTTTTCCATTCTGAGGAGATGGTTGCTCATGATCTGTACTTTCAGATTTTATTCTATGATCTTCAGGCAATCTGACTGCTGGTTTTTTTGTACGATCAATCTATAGTAACAAAAACAGAACAAAACATACTTCTGTCAAAATCCAGAAACTCAGTTCTTGAAATTAAGTTGTAATAAAAGAACCATCACTTTGTGGCGACATCTGCTAGAATATCAACTTGTAAATCACTCAATGTCAAGGTTTCTCATAAGGCACTGGCACGTATTTCCTCGATTCCACAGATTCAGTACACTCTGATGTGTTCTGTATATGGAAGAGGTTCAGTCTAAAACACAACACCTAGACCTGGGCATACCTAGACTTAAGTTCCATTTCCACATACTCAATTGCCTACTCAGTAATTCTATGTGAGTATCTCATATATACCACAAACCTAATGTGACCACAACCGACTTCCATGATTTCCCCCCACAAACACGGGTCTCATGGATATAACCACTATCAAAACAGTAGCTCAAACTAGAAAACTGGGTCTCATGTTCTCCCCTGCCCTTATGCAGTCTGATGATTTTCCTCCTATATCTGTCCCTCCTCTATTAGCAACAATCAAGTCCGTGCCAACATTCTCTCTACGTAGCTTCCAACTAGTTGCCTCATCCCTTCTCTTGCCTCCCGTCTAATCTATTTCTCCATAGTGGCCAGAGTAATCATTTTAAAACACAAATCTAACAATGTTCCTTACCTACTTAAAACCCTATTTTTTTTCAGAGATATTTTATGCTTCACACATATATACACACACACATACATGCACACAACTGTATATAATTCCCTTTTTAATAGTGTGGCATACTTGTTTTGCATTTCAAAAAGCTGTGCACATAATGTATCTTGAAAATATTTCATAAAGGTACAAAGAGCTTTCTCATTTTGAAGATAGTTGACAAAATATAATTTTATGGCTGCTTTGTAATTTACCAGTCCTTTAAAAAAAATTTTATCTTTATTGTTGTGAGCATTACAAATGTCCTCTTTTTTCCCCCCATTGAAGCCCTCAACCCCACAACTCTATTTTAAATAGCCACTCACTGTACTCAGATTACATCTAAAATCCTTACCATGGTGGTCTCACCTCTGCCTATCTAGCTCTCTAATCTTATACCATTCTATACACCAGCCATACTCCCCCCCCACCATTTTTACTGAATGTATTGGGGTGACACTGATTAATAAAATTATATAGGTTTCAGGTGTACAATTCTAATAATATACCATCTGTATATTGCATTGTATATTCACCAGCCCAAGTCAAGTCTCCTTCCTTCCATCACCATTTATCCCCTTTACTCTCTTCTACCTCCCCCAACCCCCTTCCCTCTGGTAATCACCATACTGTTGTGTCTATGAGGTTTTTTTCCTTTGTTTAATCCCTTTACCTTTTTCACTCAACCCCCCACCCCTGACAGCTGTCAGTCTGTTCTCTGTATTGATGAGTCAGTTTCTATTTTGTTTGTTAGCTTATTTTGTTCATTAGATTCCACATTTGAGTGAAATAATATAGTACTTGTCTTTCTCTGAACTGGCTTACTTCACTTGGCATAATACTCTCCAGGTCCATTTATGCTGTTGCAAAGGGTAAGCTTTCTTTCTTTCTTTTTTATAGCTGAGTAGTATTCCACTGTGTAAATGTAACAGCTTTTTTATCCACTTATCTACTGATGGACACTTGGGCTATTTCCAGATCTTGACTATTTAACTCTGCAATGAACATAGGGGTGCATACATTCTTTCAAATTAGCGTTTCAGGTTTCTTAGGATATATTCCCAGAATGGGATCGCTGGATCAAAAGGAAGTTCCATTTTCAGTTTTCTGAGGTCAACTCCATATTGTTTTCTGCAGTGGCTGCATTAGTCTGCATTTCCACCAACAGTGCACAAGGGTTCCCTTTTCTCCACATCTTTGCCAGCACTTGTTGTTTATTCATTTATTGATGATAGTCATTCTGACAGGTGTGAGGTGATATATCATTGCGGCTTTAATTTGCTTTTTTCTGATGTTGAGCATCTCCTCATATGTCTATTGGCCATCTGTGTGTCTCTTTAGAGTATCTATTCAGGTCCTTCACCCATTTTTTAATTGGGTTGTTTGTCTTCCTGGTGTTGTGTTGTAGAAGTTCTTCATATATTTTGGAAACTAACCCTTTATCAGATGTATCATTGGCGAATATGTCCTCCCCATACAGAGGGTTCCCTTTTCATTTTGTTGATGGTTTTTTTGCTGTGCAAAAACCTTTTTAGTTTGATATAGTCCCACATGTTTATTTTTTCCTTTGTTTCCCTTGACCGAGGAGATATATCAGCAAAAAAATTGCTACAAGAGATGTCTGAAATTTTACTGACTGTTTTTTTCTAGAATTTTTACGGTTTCACAACTTAAATTTAAGTCTTTTATCCATTTTTTTTTTTAATCTTTACTCGAGAACATTTTTCCATTTTTTATTCAGAGAGAGCTGGAGGGAGAGAGAGGAAGAGAGAGAAAAACATCGACGTGAAAGAGACACATCGAGTGGTTGCCACCCACACAACCCAACCAGGGCCAGGGACAAACTGCAACCGAGGTACATGCCCTTAGCGGGAACCGAACCCGGGCCTCTCCAGACCACAGGCCGACGCTCTAACGGCTGAGCCAAACCGGCCAGGGCCTTTTATCCATTTTGAATTTATTCTTGTGTATGGTGTAAGTTGGTGGTCTAATTTCATTTTTTTGCATGTACCTGTCCAATTTTCCCAACACCATTTATTGGAGAGACTGTCGTTACTGCATTGTATGTATGCTCTTGCCTCCTTTGTCAAATATTAATTGACCATAAAGGCATTTCTGGGCTCTCTGTTTTGTTCCATTGATCTATATGCCTGTTCCTCAAAGATGCTATGCTCCTTCCCAACTCAAGCCTTTATATCAGGTGTTCATCTAGATAATTCCCACTACAACATTAAATCTTGGTGTAAAATATCTCTCCCTTAGAAAAGATTTTACTGATCTCTAAATCTAGCCAAATACCCTGATACATACCCTCCTGATACCCTATTCTTTTCCCTAAATAGTACTAATTGGGATTCTGATTAAATAACTATAATTATTTGTTTAAAATAATCTTCCCTCCTAGAATGTAAGTTCCAGGAGGGTAGAGATTATGCTGGACACATAATAAATAAATATATTGCTGCGACACTGGATAACATATTCCTAAGAGATAAGATCCTAAATACAAGTTGAGACTACCCAAATTCCTGATTTAGTGAGTGAAATATTTATTGCTTCAAATAAATATATGCAGTTAACTGCATAACTAACCCCACAAAATTGTTAAAAGTGATGGTAGAATAATTTTTTGAGAAGATAGTTTACTGAAACAAAAATGAGAACTTACAAGAATATCTGCCAGTAATAAACAGCACAGTGTTCTTATAAAATAAATTGTATGTTTTTCCACAATACCACAGGAAGAAGTTAGTGAAGAAAAAAATCATCCCTTCATTCTTCTCTTCTACCCTTTGCTCCTTCACTTAAAAAAAAAAAGTATCTTCTCCCCTCTGGTTTTCTACATTTGAGAATGAAGTAGGAAGAGCCACTTCGAAGATAAAGTTAACAATAAATGGATAGATAGACACCAAAATGTTTCATCCATATTTTGGTAACTCAATCCACTTTTCCTTAATCTTAAAAGCATATCAAAGCATATCTATGACCATGTTATTTTCAAGTTGAACATTCTTAAAATAGTTTCCTTGTGCCTACAGGATAAAATTCCAATGCGATCCAAGACTCTCTTGATGACTTTTGTCCATTTTTCCAATCTTATCTACTATTGGTCACCTTCCTCCAACAGAGAGCTGTGTCCAAGCATTTCAAAACTACTCACTGGTCCCAGAGCATGCTCTGAGCCTTTAGTCATACAATTTTGTACTGTCTCTTCCATCCTCAAATCTTACTAAACTCTTAAAGCCCAGATAAAAACTCTGTAAAGACATCCCTGATACTTACAGTCAGAATGACATTCCTTGCTGTGTGCTCTAGTGACTATTACAGCAATTATGATATTCTACCTTATGCTATGGCTAATTTTGTACATGTCTCGCCTTCTAAACATCAGACAGAATCCATGGCTTAATCATATAGGTAAACCTGCATGTTGTGTTTCATATAGAAAATCTTCCAAATATGTTTGATAAATTGCACATATCTCAAAGTCACAAAGGGATAAGGGTTATAACATTATGTTAAAAAAAATGCAATAACATAAGTTTGTTTTTTTTTTGGTGGTACATGCCCCTAGCGGGAACCGAACCTGGGACTCTCTGGTCCGCAGGCCGATGCTCAACCGCTGAGCCAAACTGGCCAGGGCAATAACATAAGTTTTAAAATTTTTTCTTAAATTTACATTTTAAGAAAAGTTGTTTGATCAAATACTATTTAAATCTTAAGATTTAACCTAAAATATTAAAAGACTTTAAAAACATGAATAAATGAACCACCTCATTTTATAATTAAAAAAAGACTAGCCCTGGCCAGTTTAGCTCAGCAGTTGGAGCATTGGCTTGCAGTCCAGAGAGACCCGGTTCGGTTCCTGCTGAGGGCATGTACCTCGGTTGCAGTTTATCCCCAGCTCTTGTTGGGTCGTGTGGGTGGCAACCACTCGATGTGTCCCATTCACATCGATGTTTCTCTCTCTCTCTCTCTCTCTTCCTCTCTCTCGCTCCCACTCTATCTGAACAAAACAAAACAAAAAAGACTAAATTTTCTATTTGTAGCCTGCTCCAAAAATGTGAAAAACTGTTTTAAATATATCTGAGAAAATATTTAAAAAATGAATGCTAAAATGTCTTATTGGAAAATGCATATAAGGAGAATTAGTTACATAAAATTTCCTTACATAAAATCTAGTGAAGCCCAGCCAGGGTGGCTCAGTGGTTGAGCGTCAACCCATGCACCAGGAGATCATGATTCGATTACCAGTCAGGGCACATGCCCAGGTTGTGGGCCAAATCCCCAGTGAGGGGCATGCAGGAGGTGATCAATCACTGTTCTTTCTCATCGATGTTTTTTTTTCTCTCTCTCTCCCTCTCCCTTCCCCTCCCTGTAAAATCAATAAAGAAAATAAATAAATAAATAAAAATCTAGTGAGAAAAACGCTGCAAATTTTTATTGTAACATCTTGGTTAATTTTTTTTAGATAATTATTGTTAAGACATACTTGTTATTTTTGTACCAAATTATAAGAAAACAAAACTAAAGCACTGTTTCAAAACCAAAATACTGACATTACGTATTTATCATCTGTAAGCCAAACTGTTTGGGAAAATACTATGGGTTAAATAATAATACAAAAAAACAAAAACAAAAAACCCCAGAAAATTTGAAAGTGTTGTTCAAGTTCACTGTGGTAATAATATAATCTTTTAATGGTATTGCCTTGTAGTAAATGGACACCAGCTGGGTTTGAAAATCCTTCCAATTATCTATTCTAATACTGCTGTGGCAACAGAACTGAATTATAAAGAAAATATTTTATAGCAAAAACGGTACCAAAACATAAAGGTTCTTCTCATTAATATTTTTCTTTTTAAAATATTTTTAAAAAAAGAGACAATAAAGTTAAAAGAAAATTAAGAACATACCTGAGGAAAATTCTTTACAGTAGGCATTGGCTGAATTATGGGTGAAACATCAGACTTAGAAGTAATAATTGGTTCAACTGGAGTTGATAAAGTCAATGGTCTCATTTTCTCATCTTGATCTTTTATCAATTCTGTATTTTCATCTACTTCTATAGAAGGTGGCATCTGTGCAGTAGGTTTAGAAGGAACTGATTCTTCCAGAGAGGGATAAGTAAAATCCACTAAAATCCCCAAAAGAATAATAATAAATTGAAAGAACAGCAAACCTCATAAACAGTACTGACATATTTCATTCATGTTATATGTGATAGTTAAATGTAAACTAAATAAGGTGACAACAGTCTTAAAGAATTAAACATTAGCCCTGGCAGGTGTGGCTCAGTTGGTTGCATCAGGAGGTTGCCAGTTCAATTCCTGGTCAAGCACACATGACTGGGTTGCGGGCTCTATCACTGGTAAGGGGTATGTAGGAGGCAACCTATCGATGTTACACTCCCACATAAATGTTTCTCCCCCTCTCCCTTCCTCTCTAAAATTCAATAAACAGTTCTTTTTTTAAAAAAAAAAGAGTTAGCCCAGCTAGTGTGGCTCAGTGGTTGAGTATCAACCCATGCACCAGGAGGTCGCCAGTTCGATTCAGGGCACATGCCTAGGTTGTGGGCCCGATCCCCAGTGGGGGACATACAGGAGGCAGCCAATCGATATTCTCTCTCATCGATCTTTCTATTTCTCTCTCCCTCTCCCTCAAAAATCAATAAAGAAACAAACAAACAAAAAAAGAATTAAACAATTAAACATTAATTTCCAGGCTATGGACATCTTGTATTTTTTATGCCTGAAAACAAATTGCTATCTAATAGGACAAATGTATACCAAATCAAGAACATTACCTTGCAAACATAAATAATTTAAAGTTTATTTTACTGAAGCAATTGTAAACAAAAATTTTCACATACATACATGAGATAGACACCTCTTCTTTCTTGCCTCGTGGGGGTATAGTGACTTTAGCATTTGTTGTGTACTGGGGATAACAAAGGAGCCAGTTTTCATAGCCTCCTTCTAAAACCAAAGGCTCATTGCGCAGGACAGTTTTACTTTCCCACTATAAAATAAGGAAACTGTTTTTAATATGGCAGCTAAGAACACAACAAACCTGAATTTTAAAATTGCTCTCTTGAAAGTTCATCTTCGAAATGATTAAAAAAAAAAAAAAAGCTGAATTAAAAATTCAACATTAAATAAAACAAATGGATAGATGGGTTTTTTAAATCACACAAGTAATCCATGATCTTAGAAGAAAAATAAGTCTATATACAATAAAAATCATCCATAACCTCACTACTCAGAGACACCACTTGAACATTTCAGAGCTTATTCTTAGTTTTCTATGAAGACACACACTTTTTATTTAAAAAATTTTTTTAATATATGCTATTTTTATTTATTGATTTTAGAGAGGGAGAGGGAGAGATAGAAACATCAATAAGAGAGAACATCGACTGGCCGCCTCCTACATGCTCCCCACTGGGGATCAGGCCCACAACCTGGGCACATGCCTTGATGGGGAATCAAATCAGCGACCTCTTGGTGCATGGGTCGATGCTCAACCAGTGAGCCACTGGCTGGGCAAAGACACACCCTTTTTAAACTTTATTTTTACAAAACAAGGAAACTTTCATGATACTGCTTTTCTCTTAAATGACTTTTATTAATAAGGAGCTACATATATATAATTTATAATGACCAGCTAATATTCTATTTCATACACACAAATACACACACATACACCAAAACTGAATCCATCATCTGAACATTTACTGTTATTTTTCCTACTTAAATAATAAACAATGCTGAGATAAACACTGACGATCTTTCTTTATATATACACACACCCAATCAACTCCATTAAGGAATATGCCCAGGAGTAGAGTTGCTCAGCCAAGGCACATGAACATCTTAATATACATAGCTAATCTTTAAAATGCTCTTAGCCCAGCTGGTGTAGCTCAGTGGTTGAGCATCAACCTGTGTACCAAGAGGTTGCTGGTTCAATTCCTGGTTAGGGCACATGCCCAGTTTGTGGGACCAATCCCCAGTAGGGGGCATTTAGGGGGCAACTAATCGATGTTCTCTCTCATCAATGTTTCTATATCTCTCCCTCTCTAAAACTAAGAAAGAAAAACTTTTTTTTTTTTTTTTAAAAGTACAATACCAAATTTATATACTTACCAACAGTGTATCAGAATGCTTATTATAAATCTTTACAGTTTTTCCAAACTGCTGGGCATAAAATGGCATCTTGTTTGAATAAGCATTTATTAGTGAAATGGAACATCTTTTAATATATTAGCCATTTATATTATATAATATCATCCTTTGCCCATTTTTCTTAGTAAATAGTAAATGTACTCTGAATATTTAGGAAAATAGGTCTTTATCATATATGTTACAAAATCTGTTCTGATTTTTACCTTGTTTATGATGTTATTAACACAGATATATTGACCTTCCTTAATGGTGTCTGGATTTAGGACCAAGAAAATAAAATATCTACCAATGCTTTTTCCTAGTAGTTCACTGTTTCAATCAATACATTTGTATCTTTGACCCATTTGGAGTCTAGTGTGGTCTAAGAAATAAGGTTCTTTCTTTTACTTACCAGCTAGCCTGCTGCCTCTAAACCATTCATTTCAATCCACCTTTTCCTCACTGATTTGTTATGTCACCTTTAACATACACAAAATTTTCAAATATCTTAAGTTGAACTTACTGAAATTGCTCTGTTTGTAGGTTAAAACTGGTTAAATATTGACCGTTTCATATATCAACCTATCCTTGGGTATATTTCTAGATTTCCCATTTTTAAAATATGTTCTTATGCATTTTTTTTTTTTAAGAGAGAGAAGGGAGAGAGAGAACGTGAGAGAGAAACATCAATCAGCTGCTTCCTGCACACCCCGCTCCCCCACCCCGGGATCAAGCCTGCAACCCGGGTATGTGCCCTGACCAGGAATTGAACCAGGACCACTCCGTCCATGAAAGGATGCTCAATCCACTGAGCCACACCGGCCAGGCTAGAGTCCCTATTTTAAAGCATGAACCATTTCAAGGCTTCTAAGATTGCCCTCCTGGAAGGCAATGTTCCATCAACTAACCCTCCTAATAGCGGACTGAGTTTTTTCTTACCATATTCTCACCAGCATTCAGTGCCACCATTGTTTAATAACTTAACAAATTAAACTGAGTATTGTTATCTTGGTTGATTTGATCAGTGAAAATGGCATTCATTTTTCAATTTGCATTTCTCTTATTACTAGTAAAGTTGACCAATTTTGTGGGTTTTTTTTTTTTTTTTATCCTCACCCAAGGATATTTTTCCATTTTTTGTACAGATAGAGTGGGAGGGAGAGAGAGAGAGAAACATCGATGTGAAGGGACACATCGAGTGGCTGCCACCCGCACGACCGACCAGGGCCGGGGACAAACTGCAACCGAAGTACGCGCCCTTAGCGGGAACCGAACCCGGGTCTCTCCGGACCGCAGGCCGACGCTCTAACCGCTGAGCCAAACTGGCCAGGGCCAATTTTGTGTTTGTTTTTTTTTTCCTCACCCAAGGACATTTTTCCATTTTTTTTTGTTCAGATGGAGCGGGAGGGAGAGAGAGGAACAGAGAGAGAGAGAAACATCGATGTGAAGGGACACATCGAGTGGCTGCCACCCGCACGACCAACCAGGGCCGGGGACAAACTGCAACCGAGGTACGTGCCCTTAGCGGGAACCGAACCCGGGTCTCTCGGGACCGCAGGCCGACGCTCTAACCACTGAGCCAAACCGGCCAGGGCCAATTTTGTGTTTTTATAACTTGCATTTCCTCTTCTGTTTATGTCTATCTGTGTTCACTACTTATTTTACCATTTTATCTTAAGTAATATTCTTATTTACTTGTAAAAATTCTTCGGATTTTAGGTAGTCTAAGTCACTGCCTTATTTGTTGCAGATATCTTTCTGCTTGTCTCCATTTTCTAATCTTACAGTACTTTTTCACACCTAAATTTTTATTTTATGAAGTCAAATCTATCAATCTCCCTCCCCCCTTTTCTTTTTTTGTTAATCCTCACCTAAGGATATTTTCCCATTGATTTTTTTTTTTTTTTAGAAAGAGTGGTAGGGAGGGAGAGGAAGAGAGAGAGAGATTGATGTGAGAGAGACACATCAATTGGTTGCCTCCCATATGACTCCAACTGGGGCTGGGAATTGAACCTGCAACCCAGGTATGTGCCCTTGACTGGAATTGAACCCGAGACCCCTCAGTCCATGTGCTGATGCTTTAGTCGCTGAGCCAAACAGGCCAGGGTTATCAATCTTTTTTTTTTCCTTAATGACTTCTTCCTTTGTCTCTGTTTCGTAATCTAATTCTTAAAACAAAAAAAATAACACTTTTTTCAGACAATTTCTATTTCTGAAAATTCTGTTATTTGGTAATTCAAAATTCATCTTTTAAATCTAAATTTAAAAGAAATCACTAACAATCTGAGGAATTGGGTAGACCCAGAGATGTGGAAGTAGGGTACAGACTGACAACCCTCAGGAGAGGGGGTTGTGGGGGGAGGGAAGAGATAGACCACAGAATTTATATGCATGTACGCATAACCGATAGACATGGTCAACAACGCCAGGTATGGGATGGGGGGGATGGGGAGGAGGGTGTCTGGGGGAAAAAAAGAAACATCTGTAACAAAAATAAATTAATAAAAAATTTTAAAAAATAAATAAATCTACAACCAAAGCATAATGGATCTTCTTGTCCTTACGATAAACTAGTCAACATACCTTTCTAACAACCAGAGACGACTTGCAAATTATAGTAAACTAACAAGGAAACTTGCTAACCTTGAAAAGTGCATCCTTCAGACTCCGTAGAGTTGTTCCAAGTTGTAAATCTTTTGTAGAACTAAACCAGTCAAGAAGTACCACATAATCCACATTCCCCCTCTTCATCCATTTATCTTTAGAGTCATCTGGGAGGTTTGCTTCAATCCAATTAGCAGTGACTCTGAAATGTATTAACATTTGCATTGGGTCAAAAGTAGATGAAAGGTCCTAATATACTAATATAAGACAGTGAATTTTGTTTCACAGTCTGTACCACACCATAGAAAACTTTAACACGGGTAGATTCCTTTCTAAGGTCAGACTGTGTATTAAGATATTAAATACCCTAAAATGCTTAACAACATCACAACTGCATAATACTGGAATATATTTTAGTATTAGAGACTAAAAGAAGTAGACTCAGTTTTGATCCTCTACCAGAAAAGGAAGACCAGAACTAAAAACAGAAGAACCCATCTGAGAATCTCTCTCAGTCAAGTATAAACAAATGGGGGACCACCAGGTAACATTATTTATATTTCAGTTCTCTTATACCTGCACAGATAACTAATAGTTAACCAAATACCTAAATAATTATTTAACGAACACATATAGCAATTACCATGTGCCAGGTAACTATTCTAAATGCTTTATTCTGAATCTCACTGACTCCTCACAACAATACCATAAGGTAGGCATTATTATCCTCATTTTATAAATGAGGAGACTGAGGCACAAAGAGATTAAGTAACCTGCCCAAGGTCACAGCTGTGAAGTGAAGCCAGAATTCAAACTCAGGCAATTTGGTTCATGTCCAAGCTCTTCGCTGCTTTGTTGTGTTGCCTCTTACATCAACAACACTGAATATTGTCAACTCCACCACAAAGCATGCTGTTGACTTCCTTTTGCTCACAGAAAAGCTGAAGTTCTTTGTAAAGTCCTTACAATGGTTTTGTCACATGGCCCCTCCCCCAAATCCTATTATCTCAATGTCCTCATCACTAAATATGTACTTGCCCCTTTACTCCACCCCAGGCACTGGCTTTCTTGTAATTTGTGGTATGCTCCTACCTATGGGCCTCTGCTCCTGCTGTCCTCTCTGTCTAACACTTCTTCCCTCAGATAAGTGCATCAGTCTTTCCCCTCCTTCCCTAAAGATTTGCTCAGTAGTAACCTCTCCATGAAACCTCTCTGGATTAAATTTTAAAACTCAACAGACAAGCCTGACACACCTATCTCCACTTATCAACAGCAGACATATATTTTATGTTTTATTGACTGTCTCACCTACCTTGTCTCCCTGTTAATAAAATATAAGCTCCATGAAGCAAAGATTTCTCTGTTCAATGGCTCAGTCCCAGCCTGAGAACCACAGTAACACAGCCCACAGTAAGTACTCAGTAAATATCTGCTGAATAATTTAATGAGGTAAACAGATTTGTTACGCCAGGTAAGAAACTCCCTATTATTCCTAACAAAGCACATAGGCATTTCAATATTTAACTGATGATATTAGCAAGCAAGGCAGGACTTGTGAAACTTATTCATAAGTAAAACTAAATGGTTTAGGTTATTTTTTTAAATCCTCTATATAATAATATTGGTTACTGTATCTATTAGAATATAAAGAAAAAAGGACAGACACTATATAGCCTCATAATTCTCACCTGATATATTAAGATCAGAAAAATGCTTAGTCAATAAAGAATAAAAAAAAACCTGAAATGTGATATTAAGGACTATTACTAACTGCACAGATATACTTGCCTAAATATTCTTTATCTAAAAACTCAAGATTAGCATTCTGCAGGGCACATTGGAAAACAATAGTATCAACCAGTATTTCCCAAGTTCATTTTTTCATGTATCATCTTTACACACTGCTGTAATTTTGCTTTACCTTATCTACTATTTAATATTTTAATTAGTTAGTTTAATTGAAAGTGATCCTTTATTAAAATAAAATTTTTTTAAAAAGTGTATACTCCTATATACATGGAAAAACAGCATCATATCCAATAACCACACAGCAATAAGAATAAACAAACTTCAAATGCACAAAACAATATAGATGACTCTCACAAACATTAGGTTGAGTACAAAAATCCAGGCATGAAAGACTATAGACTGTATGAATCCACTTATATAAACTACAAAAACAGACACAAACGAATCTAACTGACAGTTGGCATATGAGGGGCTTCTGCAGTGATGATAATGTTTCTTGGTCCAGATACTAAATGGATGCACTCTGTTTTTGAAAATCCACTGGGCTAAATACTTAGATAAGCATTCTTTTTTTTTTTTTATCCGCACCAAGGGCATTTTCTTTTTTTGCATTTATCTTGCGGGAGAAAGGGGGGTGGGGTGGGGAGAGAGAGAGACACACACACACACACACACATCGACGTGAGAGAGACACATCGATGTGAGAGAAACACATCGAATGGTCACCACCCACACGACCCCAACCAGGGCCGGGGACAAACCGCAACCGAGGTATGTGACCCTAGCGGGAACCGAACCCAGGCCTCTCTGGTCCGCAGGCCGACACTCTAACTACTAAGCCAAACTGGCCAGGGCTAAATGAGCATTCTTATCATATGAATACTACACTGCTGACACTGTTGCCTATAGAAAGCTCTGAGGCCTGCTCTCTGGTGAGAGAGAGATTAGTAAATATTAAAAAACAATGCTAGCACCAAACTGAGACTTCTTTTAACTAATCCAGAAGGACAGAAACAAATTAAAGGGGAATACTTTTCTTGGTATACAATTCATTGCTCTTTAATTTTCAACCTAAACTCATCTTGAGTTTCACAGTAGTCCAAATCTCACATTTTGGGAAATAATTAAATTCAATAAAAACCATCAGCTTTCTGTTAGTACAGATCAGACTACCCAAAGATTAATTATAACTTTCTTTTTCTTTTCAAATCCTGGGAATATATTCACACCTACTTGATTAGACTAAGCACTTGAATCTCATATTTAAATAGTGTACTTACTAATCTGTTTAGTGGTTCAGAGTAGAGAAATAATAGAGGGAATGGCAGAGGTTACCTTGTTTTGTAAAAAGTAAATCATCAAGCTAAACTATTAAATTAAAAAAATCAGATAAATAACTAGACAGATTGATACACAGATTGGACAGATAACATATTTACAATGCATGCTATTCTTCAGGTCAAATGTTTATTTAGTAAGCATCTGCAATGTACCAAATATTATGCAAATTTTGTTACCTAATTTAATAAATGTATCTTCTTAATGTTATGTTAGTCCTAGAATGGACCACAGATTAACCTAATCCAACCCCATAAACTAAGACCCAGAGAGGTTATATAAATTATTTAACTCAAAACAATGAAAATAGCCCTGGATCTGGAGTTTTAACTCTGTCACTGTTGTGATAGTGTCTAATATACAATAAATCCATGCATGTAACTTTATTTTTATAGGTTAAGAGCCTTCTTATCAAAAAAGAAAAAAAAAATTTTCAGTTAAGTCCTTACAAATGCCAGGCACTGTGTTAAATGTGTGTATAAAATTTCTCAACTTCTCAAAACCTCTGAGACAGGTAATATCTCCATTTGACAGATGGAAATATGAGCTTAGAGAGGTTAGGTCACCAGCTAGAAGTAATGTAGCTAATAAAAGACATTTATAATCTCACTTTAGAACCTTTATTCTCTCAATCACCTAGTTATACTGCTGCTGGCTCTTCAAAAAAGTATTTGTGTACTCTTTTGCCACAGATAATAATATGGGAAATTTCAAATTAGTTCACAATTTTAGGCGATTTGGTGCATACACTTCAAAAGCTCATACATAAATAATAGTACGAGAAATTAGTCAACAAACACCTAGGGAGAGAGCACACACAAGGACAGCATCATTTCTCTTCCAAGACTGCAGATATCAGATAGGAGAAAACAGCCAGACTGGAGTGTCTTTTACACTACTCTTTAGAAAGGATAAGGTGTGCCATTAGGAGCAAAAAATGAAAAAGTCAATGGGAAAAAGAAAACACTATTATATCACATTTAGAGTGAATGCTAATTGGTAACATTTACTACTATCCACAGTTACCACTTTATCTAAATACACAGTGACCCACCCTGGACTGATGGCTTCTTCAGGAACACTGAGAGAATCTGAAATACGGGAATCCTGATAATCCTGCATTCTTCGAGCATCCATTATAATTAAGCTGATATTTTTATCCATCATCATTGTGTATAGTTCCTTTGCTGTGATCGATCCTTGGAATCAAACAAGATAATATTAGTGACAAGTAACACCAGTTCTGTGTTCTATCACATCACTAAACAGGACAAGCATGGCTTTTCCTAGAAGAGTGAAGTGTACTGGGTGTCACATACTTGCTCTTCCATCACACTATTATAACTTTTAAACTAACATTAAATATAACATGTGTTTTGATATTTATCAAGAAACTAACTTAATGCTCTGTTTATAAAAACTTGAATACTAAAATTTGCTGTAGAGTTTACAATTATTTATGGTGTGAGCTTTGTTACTGGTTTAAAATGAAACTAATATGTGTATCTCATGAAAATATTCCATTTTTAAAATTAAGCCATTTTTAAAATGTCAACCTGAAGAAACATCTATGGCTCAAAAATTCTGGAAAGGGTCTAAATTCTTTAATGGGGCTCTAAGGGGACTATTTTACATTTTCAAGTCTTCCCAGACGAACAAGCCCAAAGCCTGTTATTTGTATTCCATGAGAGGGGTTGGCAAACTAAGGCCACCTGTTTTTACTGGAACACAGCTATACCCATTTGTTTCCATGTTGTCTATGGCTGCTTTCACGCTACAATAGCAAAGACCACAGGGCACTCCCAAGCCTAAAATATTTACTATCTAGCCTTTTAATTTTTTTTTTTTAATCCTCATCCAGGACATTCTACCATTTTTTTGTTCAGATAGAGTGGGAGGAAGAGAGAGAGAAACAACAACGCGAAAGGGACACATCGAGTGGCTGCCTCCCACACAACCCAACCAGGGCCGGGGACAAACTACAACCAAGGTACATGCCCTTAGTGGGAACCGAACCTGGGACTCTCTGGACCACAGGCCAACACTCTAACTGCTAAGCCAAACCGGCCAGGGCTAATCTTTTAATTTTTAGCCAAAATAAATATTCCTTATGTTGCTATTTTCCTCTTCCAGCTTCTACCAGCAGTGAACTGTGAGAAGAATGTAGTCACAATATCTTCTAAACTAAAAAACCCAGCTGCTGCCCTAGCTGGTGTGGCTCGGTTGGAGTGTCTGTCTACCCATACACTGAAAGGTGACGGATTCTATCCCTGGGTGGGGTGCATATGGGAGGCAAGCAATCGATGTTTCTTTCTCTCTCTCTCTTCCCTTCTCTAAAATCAATAAAAAGCATAACCTCAGGTGAGAAAAAAAAAAAAATCCAATTGCTAATAACCATCCTACTTTCCTTTCTAATCATCAATATCCCTTTGACAACAAAAGAGTGTAAAGAGACTGAGAACAAACCACTGAGAAGGGTAATATCAAAGCAGGATGAGATACAAAGGAACATACAGATAAAAACAAACCTTAGAATGAATTGATAACAGCTTTTAGGGGAGGTACCTTACTAGGTTTATTTTTCATTGTTGTATGGCAATCTTTTAAACAATTTATTTTAGTGTTACACACAATTAATATTTAAGTTAAACCTTTTCTGAGAGGAAAACTTAGGGAAACTACCTAAGTCTTATTCTTTAGGTCATATATTTGTGACTAGACCATCCACACCACCTGTGGATAATATCAAAATTTCTGGTTTAGATTTTTTTAAAAATCCTTACCCAAGGATATTTTTCCATTTTTCTTCAGATTGGTGGGGGGGGGGGGGGGGAGGAGAGAAAGAGAAACACTGACATAAGAGGAACACATTGACTAGCTGCCTCCTGCACGACCCCAATTGGGGCTGGGGATGAACTTCAACCGAGGTACGTGCCCCTTGGCTGGAATCAAACACATACTCATTGATCCTCAGGCCGACGCTCTAACCACTTAACGAACCAGCCAGGGCTGGTTTAGATTTTTTAAGGGAGTAAAGAAGACTTAAGTAATTAAGTCTTCAACCTAGAGTCACAAGTAGTAATAGCTATCACTTATAAAGTTCACTGTGTTCTACGAGTTTCACAACTACTAACTCGTTCAGTCCTCACAATAAGCCTATGAAATAGGTACTATTATCTCCACTTTAAAAAGGGGAAAATGACGTTACAGAGGTTAAGTAACATGCTCAAAGTCACATGGAAATTCACAGGAGCCAATGTTCAAACCCAGGCAGTCTCACTTCTGAGAGTCCATGCTCTTTTTTTTTTTTAAATCCTCACCCGAGGACATTTTTTACATGTATCTTCAGATCGAGTGGGACGGAGAGAGGGAGGAAGAGAGAGGAAGATACGTTGACGTGAGAGAGACACAACTGGCTGCCATCCACACGACCCCAACCAGGGCTGGGGACAAACCGCAACCGAGGTACGTGCTTAGCGGAAACCGAACCTGGGTCTCTATGGTCAGCAGGCCGATGCTCTAACCACTGAGAAAACCGGCCAGGGCTAAGAGTCCATGCTCTTAACTACTACACTAAACTACCTTGAAAAGAAAACAATGACAACTTCTGGTCAAGACGGTGGCGTAGGTAAACGCGGTATCACGTCCTCCCACAACCACATCAAAGTTACAACTAAACTACAGAACAACCACCATTCAAAACCGCCTGAAATCAAGCTGAATCGAAGTCCTACAACTACAGAATTAAAGCAGCAGCCACATCCAGACTGGTAGGAGGGGCGGAGGCGCGAGGGCCGGCGGCGAGAGGGCTGGTCCCACACCCACGTGTGGTGGATAAAAATCAGGAGGCTCCTGCGGCTGGGAAGGTCTTTCCTGAGGACTGAGGGGTCCCCGTCCCACACCAGGTGCCCCGCTCAGGGTTCCAGTGCCAGGAAGAGAATCCCCATATCTTCTGGCTGGAAAAACCAGCGGGAACTGAGGCTCAGGGAGGCTGAGGTGGCTGGAGACCCAGGCAGCTCCTTAAAGGGCCCGCGCACGGACGTATCGGACTCTCTCCCTCTAAGCTTGGAGGAGAGGCAGCTCCAGGGGCGCCAGAGACATACAGGGAAGAACTGAGCTGTTTGGCACTGGAGCAAGGGCTGGAGAGGGGGCTTTCTCCGGGACAAACATGCTGTCAGAGGCCTTTGTTCCTTTGGTGAGCCCTTCCCGGGGGTGGCAGACAGTCGCCATATCTGGGACTCCAGCAACCTGGCTCACACTGGTAGCCCCGCCCTGATGACTCCCTGAGGCCCCGCCCCGCCCCACCCAACTTTCAAGCCCACCAAGCTGTTGCCACTTGCTTAACCATAGGATTGGCCTGTCTTGGATCCTGCTTCAGGTTTTTCCTAAATTCTTTCAAATGAGCAGCATCTGGTCTCAGCGAGCCCCATACCTCTCATTAAACAAACACAGGGAGGTAGCCAAAATGAGGAGACAAAGAAACAGGTCCCAAATGAAAGAACAAAACAAAACCTCAATGAAAGAACTAAGCGAGCCCTGGCCGGTTTGGCTCAGCGGTTAGAGCGTCGGCCTGCGGTCCTGAGAGACCCGGGTTCGGTTCCCGCTAAGGGCATGTACCTCGGTTGCAGTTTGTCCCCGGCCCTGGTTGGTCGTGCGGGTGGCAGCCACTCGATGCGTCCCTTTCACATCGATGTTTCTCTCTCTCTCTCCCTCCTGCTCTATCTGAACAAAGAATGAAAAAGTGTCCTCGGGTGAGGATAAAAAAAAAAAAAAAAAGAACTAAGCGAAATGGAGATAAGCAATCTAACAGATACTGAGTTCAAAATACTGCTTATAAGGATGCTCAATGAACTTAGTGAGAACCTCAGTGAACTTAGGGAGGGCTTCAAGAGCATAAAAAAGGACCAGTTAAAAATCATGGATACACAATTAGAATTGAAGGAGGCATTAACTGAAATAAAGAATAATTTACACAGCTTCAATAATAGAGTATGTAAATCCAAGGAGCAAACCATCGATTTGGAATTTAAGGAAGCAAAAAATGCCCAATCAGAACAGCAAAAAGAAAAAAGAATCCAAAGAAATGAGGATAGTGTAAGGAGCCTCTGGGACAACTTCAAGCGTGCCAACATTCACATCTTGGGGGTGCCAGAAGGAGAAGAGAGAGAACAAGAAATCGAAAACCTGGTTGAAACAGTAATGGCTGAAAACTTTCCTAACTTGGTGAAGGAAACAGACATACAAGTCCAGGAAGCACAGAGAGTCCCAAACAAGATGAACCCCAAGAGGCACACACCAAGACACATCATCATCAAAATGCAAAAGGTTCAAGACAAAGAGAGAATCTTAAAAGCAGCAAGAGAAAGGCAGCTAGTTACCTACAAGGGAGTTCCCATTAGGCTGTCAGCTGATTTCTCAAAAGAAACTTTGCAGGCCAGAAGGGAGTGGCAAGAAATATTCAGAGTGATGAAAAGCAAGAACCTACAACCAAAATTACTCTATCCTGCAAAGCTGTCATTTAGAATCGATGGACATATAAAAACTTTCCCAGACAAGAAAAAGTTAAAGGAGTTCATCACTACCAAACCGTTATTATATGAAATGATGAAGAGTCTTTTTGAAGAAAAAGATAAAATGTATGAACAAACAAAATGGCAATGAATACATATCTATCAACAATGGAATCTACAAACAAAATGAACAGGTAGAACAGAAACATTCTCATAGATACAGAGAACATTTTGTTGATTGCCAGTTGGGAGAGGGGTTGGGGGAATGGGTGAAAAAGGTGAAGGGATTAAGAAGCACAAATTCATTGCTAGACTGACAAACCTCAAAGGGAAAGGGGTTGGGGGGGTGGGAAGAAATAAACCAAAGAACTTATATGCATAACCAATGGACACAGACAATAGTATGGGAAAAAGTGGAAGGGGGGCGGGAGTGAGGAGGAGGGGGTCAATGGGGGAAAAATGTGGAACATCTGTAATACATTTTACATCCAACAATAAAGATTTGAAAAAAAATAAAAATAAATAAATAAATAAAAAGAAAACAATGACAAATACAAACTTTGGTTTTGTGTTTTCAATTGCATTTTATCATAAATATAACCCACGTTATATAAATTCAGAATATAATAAATTTTCAGTATATTTGTACAGGCTAGGAAAAATGATAAAGCTTATATATAGATTAGACACAATGTTAACATCTCACTGTGTAAAATATGAAACTACTTCTGATGAAAAGATCTGAGTAATAGCCTAAAAGGACTCCCTCTTTCTGTACACACTTACCTTTCTCTGTGGTCTCCTTTTTTTCACTGTTTTCACCATTTATCTATTTCATAGGGAAAAAAAGTTTCAACTTTAGTAGAAACAAAAAATTCAACTTTAATACTTTATTGAAATTAAAAGCTTAGGAAACAAAAATACAGATGAACAGTAATGGCATTACCAGGCGACTCTGGCAGCAGTTAATAGCTAAAATAACTAGCAGCATGTCTGAATCATATGACATTTCCTCAAAATTTTCTTCAGTCATTGTCTAAATATAATTTTAAAGCACAGACTGTTACAAAAATGTATTATTTAATTTAATGAGAGATGGTAAATTCTTGCAATGAAATAAAAGTTGGGCTATTACCTGGTATAAAATATTCAAAGTGATGAAAGGGAAAACCTAAACTCAAATCCTAGAAATACTCTATCCAGCAAAATTATCATTCAGAATTGAAGGACAGAGAGTTTCTGAGACAAGCAAAAACTAAAGAAGTTCAACAACCATTAAACCAGCAATACAAGAAATGTTAAAGAGACTTCTTTAAGCGGGAAAGAAATGGCCAATAGTAAAAATTTTAAATACTGGAAAGAAAAAAACTCACTGATAAAGGCAAACATTTAGTAAAAGTAGGAATCAACCATGCACAAAGCTAGTATGAAGGTTAAAAGACAAAGTAGTAAGAACATGTGTGACTATAATAATTAAGGGATACATGTATACACACTCATACAAAAGGTGTAAAATATGGAAAAAATACACACTCCACTACTTTTCCACCTAATCAGCACTTAAAATCCTCCTACATTTTGTTTAAGCATTGTTGAGTTCAGTCTTTCTCCCATTTAATAGTCTTGAAATATCTTTAACATTTTTTTTAAAAAGAGCTTTTAAAATGTAATTGTATGCAACCATCACCTTAAAATAGACTGCAATCAACACAGCTTTTTATATATGAATCTCATGGTAACCACAAACTAAAAACCTATTAACAGAACAAATTGAAGCTAGACTATTTGATTTAATTTCTAATAAACACATAAAATTTTACCCTTATTGCCTAAAAGAACACGGTAGTGACACCTCAACTCTTATTAAGCAAATCATCCTAGAAGAGTCATTTTATTCCATAGAATACATTTAAAATACCTTTTGGGTTTTGTCTTTAGAATCCAATACATTTGCCAAAGAACTTTTAGCTGATGTGCCACTATCCTCTCTTTCTGCTTCCTGTCTTTTCTGTTTTTGCAATTGCTCTTCCTCCTGTCTGTCCTTTTCTTCAAGTTTTTTCCGAACTTCGGCTTCTTCATATCTAGTTGAAAAAAAAGTCAAGATGTCTTTTATTGCAATAAACAATGAAAGTAAAGAAGTTCCGGTTACACGATACCAGTACCCTGCCCTGGGTACATATTTTCTCCCTCCAAATGAAATCCAATGCTGCCATTGGTCATTACAAGCCAAACCTCATAAATTTGCCCTCTGTAGTTTTCTTTTTCTTTTTGTAAAATTTTTTTTATTTTTTATTTTTATCCTCACCTGAGGACATTTTTCGATATTTTGTTCAGATAGAGTGGGAGGGAGAGAGAGAAACATCGACGTGAAAGGGACACATCAGTGGTTGCCACCCACACGACCCAACCAGGGCCGGGGACAAACTGCAACCGATGTACGTGCCCTTAGCTGGAAGCGAACCCGGGTTTCTCCAGACCGCAGGCCAACGCTCTAACCGCTGAGCCAAACCGGCCAGGGCTGTAGTTTTATTTCAAATTGCCCAAAAATCTTGAAAAGAAACTCTATGCTCTCAAGTTGAAGCTGTTCAATGTTCTTGTTGCTCTTTCCTGCCCACTAATTTCAACCTTTTAATGATTCAAATCTGCTGCAATTTCCTTTTGAAAGGAATTACAATCCTAAAATTAACTATAAGCTTCATTCACTTATAAAGTGACTCAAAATAGTAAAAGCACAGACAATAAATAAGTGAAAGGACCTAAAACCCAAAAGACAGAGAAGATAAAGAATATGATTATTGGGGAAAATGAGAAACATCTGTAACAAAAACAAATTAATAAAAAAATAAAAAAAAAAATAATATGATTATTGTAATAGTATGATTATGGAAAAACTAGGCAAATCCAAGAGAAAATGGTTAATAATGGGTAATCCAAAGATTAGGAGAAATTCTTTTCTACTTAATTACTTAAAATAGTTCCCTTTTTATTTTTTTATTTAAAGAATGACTAAAAATTGAACATACTATTTTTAATTTCTAAATATAAGTCTGGTAAACCAGTCATGACAAATACTAGAATTAGATTTTTTAAAAAACATAACTTCTGAAACAAGACAGATCAAAACTATAGTAAATACTTTATTCCCATAAGACCAGTGTCCAGTATCACATTACAACATGGAGCATAGGAAGAATTATATTTTTCTGAAGAATCCTGTTAGGAACTTAGAAAAAAAATGGGACCTAAGCTCTATGCTACTAAACTAATGCTTACCTTAATAATCTATCGTTCATTCTAAGCATTTTAAAAGCTTCAATAAAGAGCCCTGACCGGTTTGGCTGAGTGGTTAGAGTGTCGGCCCACAGACCGGGGAGTTGGGTTCAATTCCGGTCAAGAGCATGTACCTTGGTTGTGGTTTGTCCCCGGCCCTGGTCAGGGTTGTCCGGGAGGCAACCAATCAATGTGTCTCTCTCACACTGATGTTTCTCCCTCTCCCCTTCCCACTCTCGCTGAAGATAAATGGAAAAATATCCTCGGGTGAGGATTAAAAAAAACCAAAAACTTCAATAAAGAATATTAATGGTAACACATGAACATAATATAAGTGATATAGCTAAAGATTTTAATTTTGGGGACCCCTTAACATAGGACTTATTTTTAGGAGTTGGGATTTATATGTATGATCAATACACTTAAGACATATTCTAAACATTATTTTTATATTCTAAATTTACATTCTTTTAAAGATTTGAAAATGATATCTGTACCTGAGTTTAAGGCTTTCAGAAAGTCTTTCAGCTTCTTCAATAGCTTTTCTGATGTTTGTAGGTCCAAGCATTGAATGAACATAGTCCTAAAATTATAGGAAAATCATCCTTTACTGTTAGTATTAGCTACTGTACACAGCTCTAATGATAAAGACATTAAAATCATGGTACTTAAAAAAGGAAAGTTTAGATGAAAACATCATTATGACTGAACAAAGTATTTTTTAAAACTTTTAACCTACATAAATCTACAACTTATTCTCTAAATGTTTCAAAAGTATCTTGTCATACCATTAGTATGGTAAAAAAAAAAAAAAAAATTCAGTAGGTAATAGTTTTTATTGTAAGGCACTTTTTAAGAAGTGTAAATACTCTTCTTTTTTTGTTTATAAGTGACAAAAAGCAAAGCTTTCAAGAATATAATGTATTTTGCTATTTTAAGTAGGTTATCTAGTTTTATTTTTCTCTAGTCTCAGAAGCAGTAAAACAAATTGTGTGTCAATTTACAGCATGGGGTTTATCTTCTTTTGTTATAAACTGATATATTTATCTTTTTTTTTACAATAGCAACACTTTGGGCATAAAACAAGTTTTACATTTGAGGAAACCTTGAGTAACTAAAAATCAAATTATATAAAATAAACAATCAATAATATAATCATCTTTAAAAAAACACAAAACTGCCCTCCTGTACGCCAAAAGGTGGTAGGTTCGATTACCGGTCAAGGCACATACCCATGTTGAGGGTTTAATCCCTAGTAGAGTTGTGTGCAGGAGGCAACCTATCAATGTTTCTCTCTCACATTGATGTTTCTCTCTTTTACTCTCTCCCCCACTTCCTCTCTACTAAAAAACAAAAAGACCCACAAAATTTTGGCACACGATTTACTAATCAGCATAATGAAATTCTTTTTTTAAATCACTTTTCTAAGAGGTCACTCATTAGATTCTACAATTAGAGATATTTTCAAATCAATGTTAGCCCTGGCCAGTTTGGCTCAGCGGTTAGAGCGTCGGCCTGCGGTCCTGAGCGACCCAGTTCGGTTCCCGCTAAGGGCGCGTACCTCGGTTGCAGTTTGTCCCCGGCCCTGGTCGGTTGTGCGGGTGGCAGCCAGTCGATGTGTTCCTTTCGCATCGATGTTTCTCTCTCTCTCTGTTCCTCTCTCTCCCTCCCACTCTACCTGAACAAAAAATGGAAAAATGTCCTCGGGTGAGGATTAAAAAAACAACAACAAATCAATGTTAGTTCGAGAAGACAGTAGTACAGTTAGACTTGACTAATTATTGGATCTAATTTGCCACAACTTGGCAGTATGACTTTGCAAATAGAGCCTACTAGCACAGTTCATCACAAATGATACAGTAATCAAATTTTTAAAAAAAGAAAAGAAAGGCCAGAAGGTAGAAAATATCCATCTTTGGTGCATGGAGAGACAGTCACCAAGAGCTTTGGATGGAATAAATCTGTTGGTAACAGCTATCATATGTCTATTTAGCCTAAAAGCAGATCATGTTTGGGTTGAGTTTATTCTTTTAGGTTAAAGACTAAATTAATAAAAAGGCCCTGGCCAGTTTGGCTCAGCGGTTAGAGTGTCGGCCTGCGGTCCGGAGAGACCCGGGTTCGGTTCCCGCTAAGGGCACGTACTTCGGTTGCAGTTTGTCCCCGGCCCTGGTTGGTCGTGCGGGTAGCAGCCACTCGATGTGTCCCTTCACGTCGATGTTTCTCTCTCTCTCTCCCTTCCTCTCTCTCCCTCCCACTCTATCTGTACAAAAAATGGAAAAATATCCTCGGGTGAGGATTAAAAAAAAAAAAAAAAAAAAAAAAATTAATAAAAAGGGCCATTCACTATGTAATTTCAATAAAAGTATACAGTTTGTTCAATATTGTATCAATTAAAAATTACAGTAAAACTATAATTACTTCAGTTACCACAACATCCTGACCACTGATACAATACTTTTTTTTTCATCCTCACCAGAGGATGTTTTTGTTATTGACTTTAGAGAGAGAAAAATCTATGTGAGAGAGAAACATAGATCGGTTGCCTCCTGAATGTGCCCCGACAGGGACTGAACCAGCAACCTACGTATGTGCCCTGACTGGTAATCGAACCCGCAACTTTTTGGTGTATGGGACGATGCTCCAACCAACTGAGCCACCTGACCAGAGCTGATACAATACTTTTTAAAAAAATATGTTTTTATTGATTAAAAAAAATTTTTTTTTCTTTATTGATTTTAAAGAGAGAGGAAGGGAGAGGGAAAAGAGAGATAGAAACATCGGCTGCCTCCTGCATGCCACCCCCAACACTGAGGATCAAGCCTGAAACCTGGGCATGTGCCCTGACCAGGAATTGAACCAGCGACCTCTTGGTGCACAGGTCGATGCTCAACCACTGAGCCACACCAGCTGGGCTACAATACTTTATTAATAGAAAATAAAATCTAATCATTATTGTAAGATTTCTCTGATAAAAACAAAATACAAAGTAAAACTAAAAAATACTGACTCGTTTGTATTAATTATGACACAAACTCAAAAAAACCAGCCTATAAGCTCAGCCTATAATTTAACTCTATTTAAATTATTTAAAAGCTGAAAAAATTGTTTGTGTTTGGCTATGCCTACTACAAGCTCTCTCAAGATATTCCCTTAATATTAATTAGGTTTCTTGTCAATAATTATCTCTCTCTTTAGTCTTAAAGGAGTACGGCTGAAGTAAGTATAAATATTTTCAAATTTTCAATAGTATTTACAATTGACAATTGACAGAATTTAAATAACAATATCCATTTCTTATATAACTAAAAACATTTGCTCCTTAGGTTTACCAAGCAGAACTTTCCTATTCTTGAACATACAGATTCAAGCAACTCTCATGATTTCCCAAACAAAAGGTTTTACCAATAGTATTTGGAATTAACTATCAAGAATGCTGAGGAGATTTAAAGATATCATTCTGAGACAGGCCAGTAGGCCAGCACAAGTGGAATAGGAAAACTGATACAGATAGCTGGACAAAATTTACAGCAATTTACATGACCTCCCTAGAAATAACATCTAGGCCTCAGATGTATTTCACCTCCAGACCCAGAAAAGGAGCAAAACCAGGAAGGCAACTCTAGGATCAGCTGCAATAAATATTGACCCCTTGCCATGACACTGACCAATCAGTGAGGACCACAACCTTGAAGGAGCACACCTAGAAAACTGATGAATATTCTGTTGAAACCCTCCCGAGATCTCCCCTAAGATTCCAGCCTACAAGAGAGAAATAAAAGCCTCAAGATAAAAGAGCCAGCCTGCACTCTTTCCCAGGAGCATGCCCTCGCTCCTCCATTTCTCCGCCCACCCCCCAACACATCTCCTAGACTCTCAGGGACCCCATGAGACCTGCAACCAGGTCAGCAACGAGCAGTGGCGGTTCATCCCAGGCAAACCCCCTGAACCTGCCCCAAGGCCCCCTTCTTAGTAAGCCAAAGCAGACCAGCCTAGGCTCATTTCCCCAGCCCTTCCTTGTTTCACTGTCCCCAGCTTGAATGAACATCCTCTAAAATTCACCTAGAAAGTTGTGAAACTTTTCCGGCAGGAAGTCAAGAACTCACACACTACAGGCTGGCCCTAGGCAGACCTGCTTAGGACCAGGTCCTTTCTGGTAGCAATTCTAATATTATCTAGACTTAGCTGTACTAATATTTCCAATATATTTGCCTTCCTTTTCAGATAACCCTGAAAAAATTATTCATAAGTTGATTTTTTTCAACGAGTAAGCAATAAATGCAATGTGTTCTCTACTACTGAGCTTGCTAAATTAACAAGTTTTATCTAAATCTTAAATCTCTAGTATAAAATAAGATTGAAAGATAAAGTTGCTGAAGACTGATTACATTACATTCTGTTTCTACCTGTTTTAAAAGGCAAAAACCAAAAAGAAATATTTAGTTAGTGCCCTGGCCAGTGTGGTTCAGTTGGCTGGAGCATCGTCCTGTGCACTGAAGATAGTGTGTTTGATTCCTGGTCAGGGCACATACCTAGGTTTCGGGTTTGGTCCCCAGGAGACAACTGATGGATGTTTCTCTCTGATATCAACGTTTCTGTTTCTTTTTCTCTCTCCCTCCCCACCCCACTCGCCTTCCTCCCTCTCTAAAATCAATTTAAAAATTTAGTAAATTTAACACTTCATATACTTGAAGTACACTGGAGAGGTTGGACTAAATAAAATAAAACACAAACAGTTCTAAGACAGAAGCAGATGTGGTACCCTGGACAGAGCAAATGAAAATAATCCTTATACTGAAAACCAGGAACTAAACAACTGTAGCATATGAAGCAACAGGGAGCTTCCTAATCTGTACACCTCCTGCCACTTTCATCTAGATACTACCTTTGGAAGTGCAATAGATATTCTGTGGAAATGAAAAATATCTCTTATCAGTTATAATTTACTCCCAACCTTCTCAATTTTAAAAAAAGAACAGGTAGGTACAAAAACACCCCCAAACTTGTCAAATAAAAAAAGTAACTACTAACTTAGCAAAATAAAGCAAAAAATTTAAAAGTACATTAAAAAATGGCCCTACAACAACAGATAAAACAGCAAATATTGAAACTACCAGTTAGCCCTGGCCAGTTTGGCTCAGCGGTTGAGCGTCGGCCTGGGAACCAGAGTCCCGGGTTCAGTTCCTGCTAGGGGCATGTACCACACACACAAAAAAAGATGTTCAGCGAAACTACCAGTTATCCAAATTGGCAAATATTTCAAAAAAATTTCCTTTAGCAAACACTTCTTTTTAAGCAATTCTACTTTAAGAGGTACTGTGAAAATCATCAAAGAGCATGTGAAAACTTATTTAAATTTAGGCCGGTCTCTATCCCTATCTGCAGATAAGTATGCCCAAGAGTGCTCCAAGGATAGGACCAACCCAGCCATTTATGGATGGAAGGATGAACCTCTAAATGCAAAAGGTCACCTTTCCAAAGCTAGATTTAAAACTCCACAACTATTATTAGCATAATATTATTAGTAAGAAGAAACACCAGCAATTATTTATCACCATTAAATAAAACACTGAAGGATGTCTCTTAGCCAACAACCAGAAGAAATTATATCAATCACACTACTGTGGGGAAAAATAAGGCTATTTCAAAGAATAAGATAATTTTTTAACTTCTATAAGTCAACTTAAATGAGGCAAGGAAATTCCACCACCAGTGAACAAAATAAAAATCTCAATATTAACTCAAGAATGGCTTCTCTACCAGGTAAGAAATCTATATTGGTATTTTGTTACTATTTACTGTCTGGTAGCAAGACGTTTTTAAGTAAAGGTGGAACCACTAACACAAAATTTTTCCCACTTCTTTAACCTAGTCTCCACGTTCTTCTTTTGCCTATTTTTGGTGCAGTTGAAATGCAACCATTTTCCCTAGCAACACTTATCTAGTTATCAGCTCTCCTTTTTCATTTACACCTCCCCTCTCCTCCCTCCCTGCCCAGCTTCAGCAAAAGTGGAAAAAATCCCCTGCTCAAAGGATTAAAAGCATAATAATAATAATAATATATATATATATATAAAAGTGGAAGCATTAACTTTGCAAACTGAGATCTTTAATATGATGACAATGTCAGTGATATATTAAAAACTGTCACCTTAAAACAAGTGACTGCCCAGTCGGTGCAGCTCAGTGGATTGAGGGTCATCCCATGCACCAAGAGGTTGCTGGTTAGATTCCCTGTCAGGGCACATGACCAAGTTGCGGGCTCAATCACCAGTATGGGGCATGCAGGAGGCAGCCAATCGATGTTTCTCTGTCATCAATGTTTCTCTCTCCCCAGCTCCCTTCCACTCTATCTAAAATATCAATAAAAATATATTTTAAAAAAAACAACAAATGACTAAACCTTGAACCTTGAGAAAGTACAATCTGTCATATTTTTCTTATTTAATGCATGAGTATACTAAATGGTTCTGCAATGATTTATCATAATAGAAAACTGATGTCTGTATGTTGCTATAAACTTGTACTAGGTTCCAAGGCAAATTAAAAATGCATATATAGCCCTGGCCGGTTTGGCTCAGCGGTTAGAGTGTCCGCCTGCGGTCCGGTTCCCGCTAAGGGCATGTACCTCGGTTGCAGTTTGTCCCCGGCCCTGGTTGGTCGTGCAGGTGGCAGCCACTCGATGTGTCCCTTTCACATCGATGTTTCCCTCTCTCTCTCTTCCTCTCTCTCCTTCCCACTCTGTCTGTACAAAAAATGGAAAAATGTCCTCGGATGAGGATTAAAAAAAAAAAATAATAATAATAATTTTTAAAAAAGCATATATAGTGTGTGTATATCCACATATGTACAAGTTGGCAAATAATAAAATTAAATCTTCAGTTTGCTTTTTCTATCTTCATAGGAGTTTGAACTTGATGCTACATAATATTGTCTAAATTTTAGTATAGTTAAAACTTTTAGAGGAGATAACGCCACTATGCAAAAATAACAGTAAATAAAAATGCAGAAATAGAGGGTACCTGCTGTTGCTTGAAATCAGGCCTTTTTTTGATAAGGTTATAAACAGTCACGTATTTCATATACAGTACATAGGCCTTTTCTTCATCACGATCTAATCTGCATTCTTCTGCTGTCTTGAAGATCTTCATGGCACTCTGTACATAACTTAAAATTAGAGAAAAACAAAACACTTGACACCTTGGAAAAAATCATGTGTAAAGTCCATAGAGAATCTCAATAAAATAAATTTCGTAATTTAGGCTGCACTATTTCAGAATTGACACAAAGTTAGATGTAACTTTGGATGCAACCTGAAAATTTTCCTTATGCTACAAGTAAATACTTCTCTTTCATAATAGTTGTTTATATACCACAAATTGTTCAAATTGTATTCTGAGTCCAGTTTTTATTTATTTATTTTTAAATTATCCTCACCCGAGGACATTTTTCCATTTTTTGTTCCGATAGAGCGAGAGGGAGAGAGAGGAAGAGAAAGAGAAAGAGAGAAACATCAGCGTGAAAGGGACACATCAAGTGGCTGCCACCCAAATGACCAACCAGAGCTGGGGACAAACTGCAACCGAGGTACACTCCTTTAGCGGAAACCGAACCCGGGTCTCTCTGGACTGCAGGCCAACGCTCTAACCGCTGAGTCAAAGTGGCCAGGGCTGAGTCCAGTTTTTAAAAGATTTGCTACAACAGATAATCCTGAGGCAAGTGGTCCTCAGGCAACTACATAACAACATACTTTATAATTAAAGAACATACCATTTGTATTGAAGTAGGGGAGGTAAAAACTTTATCATCATTATTATTTTAATGTTTTTATTAACTTTTTAGAGAGAGAGAGAAGGGAGAGATAGAAACATCAATGTGGGAGAGACACATTGATCAGCTGCCTCCTGCACACCCCCTACTGGGGATCGAGCTCGCAACCGGGCATGTGCCCTGACTGGGAATCAAACTGGGACCTCTCAGTACATGGGACAATGCTTAACCCACTGAGCCACACCGGCCAGGCAAATCTTTATTATTTAATGTTAAAACAAATATTTCTCTCACTCCTTTGTAACCATTATGTAAATTCCCCCCACATGAAAATCCAAGAAATCAGGGCAAGAAAAGGGGACATGAGTTTAGTTTCTTTATTTGGTTAAGGTTTTCTACAAAATGGCTGAACTATACTCTGATTCACTGGTCCTGGAAGAAAAAGAGACTTAAAGTCCAAAAGTATGTCATCTTAATATTCCACTTCAGCAAAATAATTTGAGGATTCTTTGGCATTAATTCTAAGGACATTTTCCTGGTCTGAGTCTTTAGGAAGCAAATTAATTAAACAGGCATTTCTGCAAGAGGAATTCATTCACTTAAGTTTTGGCAACCAAGTTATAGTGCCAATGCCCATATACAATATGCTTTATCAATTACTTATTTATACAAAGCAATGTATCCAAGATTGAAACATGGATTAATGATGAAGCTTGTCAGGCTAAGGAACAGGAACAAAGTGGTATTCAGGACCAAAGGTGGTCCTATATAAGGATATTTCAGTCAGTATGTATGCTTTGCCTCACAGGGCATCATACTCCTAGAATAGAGAGAAATCAAAGATAGTAAGGAGATTCTCTAGAAAAGTCTAGGAATGAATTCATTTGGGATCATACATTTCATTTTTTAGAGTCTCCCATTTATCTCCAGCCATAGAACACATATTTTCCCCTGATCTCTAAAATTTGCTTGCCAAGTCTGGTATATAGCTGGCCAGACCCAGACCCAACTTACTTTCTTTTTAAATTGTTCTTTCTTTTTTTTTTTTTTTTAAGGGAGAGAGAAACATCGATATGTTGTTCTACTTATTTATGCATTCATTGGTTGATTCCTGTACGTGCCCTGACCAGGAATTGAATCTGCAACTTTGGTGTATCAGGACTATGCTCTAACCAAGTGAGTTTCCTGGCCAGGGCCTACTTTTCCTTCTGAAACTCTTTTTTCCAACTCTATAGTATATAAAATAGATCATTAGGTTAAAAGTTCGTGTCAAATTAATACTTTGCTGAATACTGGATAAAAAATACATCTCTCAGCCCTGGCCGGTTTGACTCAGTGGTTAGAGCATCAGCCTGTGGACCAGAGAGACCTGGGTTTGGTTCTGCTAAAGGGCACGTACCTTGGTTGTGGTTTGTCCCCAGCTCCAGTTGGGGTCATGTGGGTGGCGACCACTCAATATGCCTCTCTCATGTCGATGTTTCTCTCTCTCTCTTCCTCCATTCTATCTCAAGATAAAAAAAAAAAAAAAAAAAAATACATCTCTCTCCCCGCCTTTGTTTTAATCAAAGAAAGACTATGCTAAGACCATCTCTTATATGTGAAATACACAAGAATAAAAATCTTTAATGAAGAAGTATTTTTATACTATTTTATGAAAAGATATTAATTGTGGCTGAATGAGTTTTGTAGAACCATTGTAGTCTTTACCTCTTAAATTTATGATCTGGCGGTATATTTTCCAGAAAACAGAAAATGTGCATATTAGAAGACTATATATGTACTCTGCCAAGATAAAGTTAAGAACTTCTCTAAGGAGGTATTATTTTATTTCTGAGATAATGCCATTGTTTAAATAAACTTTAAATTTACTACTCACATAACTCATTTAAGAACATGGAAATAAACTAAAACTGAATATATGACTAGTCAAACTAGCAATGGATACATACTTCTTAATGCTTATTTTCTCTGGTTTAACTTCTGTCTTCTTATTGAGGTCTTTTAGTGAAGAACTGAGGTAGAGTTCTTTAGGAACTGAAGACACGGCAGGCATGATGAACAATCCTTATTTTTCCACTTTCACAATGGATGGTGTACTTCATTAAAAGTAGCTCTTTTCTGAAACAAAGTGAACACAAATAATTCCACTAGTGTTCCTCATTAACAATAAAATAAGTGAGCAGTGAAAAAAAACACACAACTGCTAACCTGTATCCTTTGCTAACAGAGTTAATTTTAAATTGTCTTAAATATTATCTATTTGGGGAGTTGAAGGTATACAGGGTATCAATAAAACTTTTTTTTTCAAATTTTCATTAACTAAGTGAATTATTGTTTGTATCATTTTACCTTAAGAATTAGGAATCTTTCCTGTCAAAGGAACTAACAGAATAATAAGAGCTTTTATATTTTTCTTCTGTTAAATCTGTATTAATGTTCAGATCACAAATAGAAGAAAGTTTAATTCAGAAATATTTCTTTCTCATTGATATGTATTTATAAAGGGAAACAAGCAAAGAGGCAGGGATAGACGGGCAAGACCACTTTATATGGAGCTGAGGACCTATGAACATGTTTCTGGTAGAATATACCTAAGTACTTTGGTTTACTCTGTAAAGGTCTTTGATGTTTCATGATATTCTTTGTTTCCTCATCTGCTTTGGCAAATTCTGACTAGGAAGACGGAGGAGATAGTACACAAAATAAAAACAAGAGGCTAGGTATGTACCAATTAAATTATGCGTGTGTATGTACATGTGCAGGGATGCATGTAGATGGGGCAGATCAAGGGAGCACACAGAATGGGGAGTATTGGCAAAATCATAAGTGTCACCAAATGAAAACTTCAGGAACCCAACTAAATGTATACAAGGTCTTTAGCTGTAAAGATCTAACTACAATGTAAATAAATAACCACTTTAATACATTTAAAGATTATGACTTGATTTTCCTAACACTTATTTCCACTATCTTAATGCTCTTCATTCTATCAGTTCACTATTACTAGATGAATGAACATCAATGAACATCTAGTTCTAAAAAGCTGAGTAAGGTACAACTTTAGGGAGAAAAGGCTTCTGTTCACCAATGTGAAACTCTAAAAGCACACCAATCTGCTTTGATTGTAGTCACAATTTATTTTAAATAGTAATATTTTCTAATTTCTTGATATTCATCCCTTCTAACCCTGTACCATTAATATGCTGACTTAGGAAGTCAGTATATTAAAGATAGCTACCTTTCTCTGAAAGTCACATTTTTATAATTTTATAATTCTCAATTTTTTCCATTTATATTTGCTCTATGTACCTATAAATACGTTCAACGAAATACTTTAGTTAGTAGCATCAGACTTATGCATTTAAGCCCTGGCCAGTTTGGCTCAGCAGTTAGAGCATCGGCCTGTGGTCCAGAGAGTCCTGAGTTCGATTCCCGTAAGGGCACATACTTCAGTTGCAGTTTGTTCCTGGCCCTAGTTGGGGTTGTATGGGTGGCAGACAGTCAATGTGTCTCTCTCACATTATGTGGGTGGCAGTCGATGTATCTCTCTCACATTGATGTTTCTCTCTCTCTTCCTCCCTCTCTCCCTCCTGCTCTATCTGAAGATAAATACAAAAGTGTCCTCGGGTGAGGATTAAAAAAAAAAAAAGATTTATGCATTTAAAAAACAATGTATTATTCTAAGCAAAATAAGCCAAGCAGAGAAAGGCAAATATCACATGATCTCACTTATATGTGGAATATAATGAACATAACAGTCTGAGGAACAGGGCAGACCCAGAGACATGGAAGTAGGGTACAGACTGACAATCCTCAGAAGAGGGGGTTGGGGGAGATAAACCACAGAACTTATATGCATGTATGCATAACTGATGGACATGGACAACAAAGCTGGGGCTGGGGCTGGGAGGGATGGGGAGGAAGGTGTCAATGGGGGGAAAAGGAGAAACATCTGTAACAAAAATAAAAATATATATATATCTCTGAATACCACCTCTGACCCAATAGTGATGACACTTCAGATAACATTCAGATTACTCTAAAAGCCCTGGCCGGTTTGGCTCAGCGGTTGGAGCGTCGGCCTGCGGTACAGAGACAGATTACTCTAAAAAATAACATTCTAAAAATTAAAGTTATTTAATTAAGATAGTCAAAAGATTATTGATTTCAAATGTTATTATTGTATAAAATATACATTTTTAAAATTAATATAAAAATTGAAAATGAAAATAAATAAATAAATAAAATAAAATAAAATAAAAACAATGAGCTTGCTCAGCCGGTGTGGCTCAGTGTTTGGACCCATGGACCAAGAGTTCACCAGTTAGATTCCTGGTCAGGGCACTTGCTTGGGTTGTGGGCTCAATCCCCAGTGGGAGGCACGCAGGAGGCAGCTGATCAAGATATCTCTCTCATTAATGTTTCTATTATCTCTCCCTCTCCCTTCCTCTCAAAGGAAAAAAAAAAATCAATAAAACATATTTAAAAAATCAATAAATAAAAAATAAAAACAATGAGCTCATATATAAACATTTTCTACACTGTTCCCTCCATTCTGCGTTCTGTATCTAAATCTATGACAACAGGGGAGAAAGCCTCTGGACCACACCATCACTGCCAAAGGGATTAATTAACGTTAAATATGTCCTTCTAGTTAGGTATCTGATTCATCAACAGTTCATCACCAAAACAGCTATGAGCATCTATTAAGGAAAGAGTATGATAGGGATTCCCTTGGATTTCCTCACACTTTTAGAGACAACAGCATCATTTGAGTATCTTACCTTGCAAAAAAAAACACCCCACTAGGCTGTGTTAAATATACAAACGGTTTATAATACATGGTCCTTGACCTCCCATGATAAACAGTTTAGCCAGAGAACATACCCTACCCTCCCACACCCACCATCGCTTCACCGTCTGCCTATCCTCACAAAGGGGAATAAAAAAGGAATACATATTACATGACACCATTTGTATACAGTTTAAAAACAAACTACACTGAACAATATATTGCTTAAGGATACAAATGAGGTAAGCCTATAAAGAAAAACAGGAAATGATAAACATAAAATTCTATTTCTGGGGAGGCAGAAGATATAATTAGAGGCATACACAAGGAGCATCAGCAGTATCAGGAAGGTTTCTTTTTCTTTTTAAATATGTTTTTATTGATTTTAGAGAGAAAGGGAGACGAAGAGAAATATTGATGTGACAGCAAAACATCGATCAGCTGCCTCCTGCATGCACCATACAGGGGATCAAGCCAGCAACCCAGGTATGTGCCCTGACAGGGAATTAAACTAGCAACCTTTCCGTGCACGGAATGATGCCAAACCAAGTGAGCCACACTAGCCAGGGCCAGAAAGGTTTTAGTTCTCAAGATGGGTGGTACACTGACAAGTGATCATAGGTGATCATTTTATTATGCTTCACAGCACATAAAAAAATTATATAATATACTTAACATATATATTTTTTAAAAGCAATTATGAGTATACCAATGCAAGTATGAATAAAAATATGCAATTGTATATAAACATGAAAAAGATAACTATACAGATGTAAAAGTTAGAAAGTTATAGCAATCACAAAATATATGTTTGTTAACTATTGATTTAAAAAAACATATTTGGAATACTGGAAGAGTCTGATATATATATAACCTTGTGTAGTACAGCTGCCATACAGTGGTGTGAGTGGAAGCAAGAGTACAACCATTAAGAAATAAAGAAATGGAAATCGATTGTAGATAACTTAAAAAAAAAAAGGCAATAAAAGAGAAAATGATGGGATTGAACGAAATGGTATTCCAGAAACATGATTTCTGAAACATAAGAAGCAGCAGTTGAAGAATAATGCTTTTGACTAAGAGAAAGTAAGGTCAAGAAACTAACTTTTTGGGAAGGTGCTTAAGAAAACCTGAGGCCTTAGTGATACCACAACAGACATCACCGTGGTAGAGGACAGGGGACACAGGAGCTTGGACTATTAATCAGGGCCAGAAGACAGTAAGAAGAGAACATTAACAAGAATTATCCCTGACTTTTCTGCTCCCAACTTGCTCAGCTAGGATCTTAAGCTTACTCAACAACAGAAAGTCAAACATTTGCTCCTCTGACATGGGCCAGCTCTTGAAATGTAATTCCCAAAAGGCCCAATCATCTTTTACTGGTGACACCAAGTGTACTAAGATAAGGACTAAAGCCAGAGTTAAGCAGAGTAACCAAGTACCAGTCTGATAGTATCTTTTTTCCAATTCTTTCTCTATCTGGGTCATAAGTACTACTGTTCTAAACAAAGAATATATGTTCAAAAAGCCAGGGAGAACCTTGGCTGACGTGGCTCAGTTGGCTGGAGCGTTGTCCCTATACCGCAAAGTTGTAGATTTGATTCCTGGTTGGGACACCTATCTAGGTCACAGGTTTGATCCCTGGTCGGGGTGCATAAGGAAGGCAGCCAATTGATGTGTCTCTCTCTCTCTCACATCGATGGTTCTTTGTCTCCCTTCCCCTCTCTCTAAAATCAATAAACGTATCCTCAGCTGAGGATTTAAAAAAAAAAGTCAGGTAGAGTCTATTTTGTTGATTCATGACAATTAGGTTTCTTGGCTAGGAAAAGAAAGCTATTGATTTGAACCTTCTAAAATGAAGGTCTAATATATGTTCTCAGTTGAATCTGTTTCTCATGATTACCTTTAAAGCTTGGATATTTAAAAGACAAAGAATATAAAAACTCTATTTATGCTACCTAGACAACTTAAAATAAAAAATCATTAGCTATTTCAAAGTTAAATTCAATCATTCACATATTCTGCTGTATGGAAGACCCTGTGTTTCTAGGAACTCAAAGACCAGATGTGATCTGCTTCCTCACAAAGTTTAAAAAATTAATGTGACAGAGAAAATTATAAGCAGCGGTAATACAACATAGTATGATCATATGGGTTACAGATAATGTACAATACAAAATTTTAAGAAGATTAAGTATGACTAAGGGTAACTGGGAGGCATCATGGGAAGAGATAGCATTTACATGAATCTTGGTGGGAAAAGGTTTTTAAGAGATGAACAGTATGAGGAAAAAGTCAAGAAAGTAAAGAACATCTTTTAAGAACTAGTCAGTAGAGAGAATGAACAGGGATCTACGAGACACTAAAGCCTAAAAGAAATAGTCTAGCAACAGATAATGGAAGGCTTTGAATGTCTAAATAAAGCATTCATTCATTCATTCATTTATTTATTTATTTATTTATTTATTTATTTATTTATTTATTTTTTATTTTTTTATCCTCATTTATTTATTTATTTATTTATTTATTTATTTTTTATTTTTTTATCCTCACCCGAGGATATTTTTCCATTTTTTGTACAGATAGAATGGGAGGGAGAGAGAGGAAGGGAGAGAGAGTGAGAAACATCGACGTGAAGGGACACATCGAGTGGCTGCCACCCGCACAACCAACCAGGGCCGGGGACAAACTGCAACCGAAGTACGTGCCCTTAGTGGGAACCGAACCCAGGTCTCTCCGGACCGCAGGCCGACGCTCTAACCGCTGAGCCAAACCAGCCAGGGCTAACTAAAGCATTTATTATTTTATTTTCTAAAAGTAACAGAAAGCCATAGCACGGTTCTAAGAACGGAGTTATGTGATCCAAACTGACAACAGTACAAAGGCTTTTAAAAGACTAGAAAAGAAACACACTAGTTACCTATCAGAATGATCCTAAGGAAAGATGATGAAGGTCAGAACTATGGCAACAGAGATGGAATAAAGGAGGCAGATACAACAGACACCACAAAGGTAGAATGACAGGACATGGCAAATGATTAGACAAAGGAGGGAAAGTACAGGGATAAGATTATAATGATATCCAGAAGAGGGTAAAGGGAAGATAAATAGTAATGGAAGGAGACTTGACTTAGGGTGGTAAACACACAATACAATATACAGATGATGTATTATAGGATTGTACACTTGAAATCTGTATAGTTTTATTAACCTATGCTATCCCAATAAATTCAATAATACTGAAAAAAAAAAACAAGATAAAAGAAAAGAGGGAGGGTGAATCTAGGAGACAGCAGAGCAGGCAGGGCAGCAAGGGAGAGGGACAGGATTGAAGAGGAGGAGAAGCAGGAGGTGCAGGAAGACTGCAGTGCCCCCTCCCTTGCCCACCAACCTGCTGGGCCCTGGGCAGAAGGGCTAGGCACCGGGTGCTGGGACCATGTGCACACGCTTGCCCCAGGCCTGGGCTGTTACCCAGTGCCTCCAGCAGCTGAGCCAGCTGTGCGGGCGCCCCAAGTGTTTGTCTGCCTGTGGTGGGTGGGTGTCCGGTTTGTGAAGTTGCTGCTGCGCTGGCGGTGGGCCCCAGAAGCCAGCGCAGGGTGGGTGGATTTACCTGCTGTAAATACCTTCATTATGGGCTGGACTCCAGCAGGCCTGGGAGGAGACCTTAGATGCCGGCAGCTTTCAGAGGTTCATGCTCAAATGGGGAATTTGCCTGATTTATATACTGGAGCCTGTGTTATAAGACAGAGAGAGAAACAGCTATATTTAGCAGGGATCCCAGTACAGGAAGTTGTTTGAGGTGCATTGTAGGAAATTAAGAATGGAAGAAAGTGAGAGTGAAGCAGGGGTGTGGAAAAAGTAGACTTTTTCCCTTTTCTAAGAATTTAATTGATAAAATTATAATAAACTCTTCAAAAAACAAAAGAACAAGGTAAAGGGTATTTTCCTCTAATCAAATGACAAAGCAAAGAGGATATATGGCCAACTTAAATCTATGTGAAATTTAATGTGCTAAAGTTTTTATGTCATTCTGCTGCATTATATACCATTAAAAAAATTTCAAAACAGACTGACAGATAATAAATCAAAACCATGGTGACCAAATGAATTCACAAATTCCTTATCGTGGTTGTAATGGTAAAAACAAGAAAAAGAGCAGCAGCAGTTTGTTACAACAAACTAGAATAAACTAAATATAACATATAACCCATTAAAACTTTGTTTTGTGCCCAGCTGGAGTAGCTCTGTGGTTGAGCGTCGACCCATGCACCCATGCACCAAGAGGCTGCTGGTTCAATTCCCGGTCAGGGCACGTGCCCAGGTTGTGGGCCTGATCCCCAGTGGGGGGCATGCAGGAGGCGGCCAATCGATGTTCTCTCTCATCGATGTTTCTCACTCTCTCTCCTTGTCTCTTCCTCTCTCTCTAAAAATCAATAAAGAAAAAAAAAATTAAAAATCACTATCTCTACTTAAAAAAAAACTATATTATGCTTCAAAAAGGATTTTAAGTAAAAAACAAAACAAAGTATATGTAAGAAAAATTAAAGTTCTTTTAATACAAAAAATAAATGTTCTTAAGGTGTGTAAATCTGATAAAGATTAAGTACTCCAGCTTTTTGCCCTGGCTGGTGTTGCTTAGTGGTTAGAGCATTGGCTTACACACTGAAGGGTTGCAGGTTTGATTCCTGTCTGTCAGGGTGCGTGCGGGAAGCAAACAATTGACATCTCTCACATCGATGTTTCTTTTTCTCCCTCCCTCCCTCCCTCCCTCCCTCCCTCCCTCCCTCCCTCCCTCCCTCCCTCCTCCCTCCCTCCCTCTCACTTTCTCTAAAAATCAATGGAAAAAATATCCTCAGGTAAGGATTAACAATCAATTAATCAATCAATCAATCAATAAACAAGTAAAAAAGAACTGCAGCTTTTGTCAAATAGCAATGCTCCAAAAGTAAAACCCAGTCAGTGCTGAAATTAACAAATGGGGAGAAAATAGAAGGCATATATATCCATCTCTCTTTAATATCCTCTAATCCTTCCAAAGAGAGTAGAGATTAGATAACTGAACCACAGAGTGAAGACTGAGGTTTGTGGTCACTCAAACTGGTCTTCACTAGGGTTTAATGCCAGGCCCCTGGCAACACTGGAAGGAAAGCAAAGTTTGTCTTCGTTGGCCACTCATCATCTCACCTCACCTCTGCTCTTCAGACAGCAACAGTATTCATTATCTTCTGTCTTAAATTTCATATAATCCATTCTATACTCATTCTAGTTAAAATGTCACAGATAAGTCAATATTGATGAAATAATCTGTTTTTTTAAAGCAATTTTAAAGCATTAAGAAGGCTCAACCCTTTCAAGAACTATCACTGCTAAAAACTTCTGGCATTTTCTGAGAGCAGTCCAGCTGGTGTGGCTCAGTGGCTGACCCATACACCAGGAGATCACTGGTTTGATTCCCGGTCAGGACACATGCCCAGGTTGTGGGCCCGATCCCCACTGGGGAGCATGTAGGAGGTGGCAATCAATGTTCTCTCTCATCGATGTTTCTCTCTCTCTCTCCCTCTCCCTTCTTTTCTCTCTAAAAGCAATAAAGGAAAAAAAATTGTTTAAAAAAAATAAAATAAAAAAGAAATGCTTGAGAGCAGTGTTTTTAAAATCCAAGGCCACAATCAGCTTTTAAAAATATAAAACTGAAGAGAAAATGTGAGCATGTTACACACAGTAAAGTACTATTTCATGAAACTTTACTTTTTGGTTATGTGCCTATATGTATGCTTATACATAACTGGGTTGAAATATAAAATGTATTTCTTGGCCCTGGACAGGTAGTTCAGCTGGTCAGAGCATTGTCCCGATGTGCCAAGTAGTGGGTTTAATTCTTTCCTCTCTTGCTCTCCCTCAAATCAATAATAATAATTTTAAAAAGTAAAATGGCCCTGGCCGGTTTGGCTCAGCGGTTGGAGCGTCGGCCTGAGGACCAGAGAGTTCCAGGTTCGGTTCCCGCTAAGGGCCCGTACCAAAAAAAAAAAAAATTAAATAAATAAAAAGTAAAATGTATTTCTTAATACAATGTGTTACAATTGAAAAAGTATAAAAGTCATTACAGGTTGGGAAATTTCTTGTTACCGGTCTGTGATAAAATACAAAGTTTATGACAGAATGTAAATCAATTAAACACACTGAACTTTTCACAGTTCAGTGACTTTCTCTATGAAGAAAGCAGTACACTGATTATATCCTAGCACAAACTGCAAGCCTGTAACAGACTGGCTACTTTGAATAACTGCTCTAGGGGATAAAGAGAGTACTACCATAGGGCTTCTGATCACAAATATCTTAGTCTAGTTACTAAAACCAAACCAATACTTATTAAATAATAAGCCAACAATTAATTGTTACACTATATATTATTATGTGACTCCAGTACCTGGAATGTAAAAAGGAGGGGGAAATTCTGTGTAGCCTGGGGGTGGGCGGAGCTTCTTCTAACCCAGAGTGCACTCTCCTCTCTCTTTTGTGCTAATTCCTGATCCTTCAAGGACCAATTTAAGTTTCAACTCTTCTATCTTTGATGGTCCCAGTTCTTGGAGTTCATTTCTTGGTCCAAATGCTTTAGTAGCTGTATCTACATTATTCCTTAATACAGTATTTGGACCAAATGACAATTATGACTATGCTTTAAGACCCTCAGACCTGCCCTGGCCGGTTTGGCTCAGGGGTTAGAGTGTTGGCCTGTGGACTGAAGGGTCAAAGGTTCGATTCCCGGTCAAGGGCAAGTCCCTGGGTTGCAGGTTTTATCCCTGGCCCTCGCCGGGGTCGTGCAAGAGACAGCCAATCTATGTGTCTCTCTCACATCTATGTTTCTCTCTCTCTTCCTCTTCCCTCATAAAAACATATTTAAAAAATAACACATGTCCTGGTCAGTTTGGTTCAGAGGTCAGAGCACTGGCCTGCGGACCAGAGTCACAGGTTCAATTCCAGTCACGGGCACGTACCTCGGTTATGATTCGGTCCCTGGCCCTGGTTGGGGTTGTGCAGGGGGCAACCAATCGATGTCTCCCTCTAACATCAATGTTTCACTCTCTTTTTTTCTCTCTCTCTCCCTTTCCCCCTACCATTCTGTTTGAAAATAAATGGAAAAAAATATCCTCAGGTGAGGATTTAAAAATAATAATAGTAACACAAAAAGGCAGAAACATGTTGGTAACAGATGGACTTAAACAGAATACTTGTCTTGTGTACAAACACACACACACACACTCTTTCTATCCTGAGAAATGTCAAGAATGATAGTGCTGTTAATAAAAAGTGTAATTTAAAAAAAACTGAGTTTATAGCAGTATTTGGACTAGATAAAATTTTGTTGCTGGGCACTGCCCAGTGCACTCTAGGATGTTTAGCAGCATCCCTGGCCTTTAGCGTGCCAGCAGTATCCGTCCCCCTGTCCCCAGTTGTGACAACCAAAAATGTCTCCAGACATTGCCAAATATCCCCCAGGGGAGCAAAATTATCCCCAAATAAAAACCACCAATTTAGCCCTGGCCGGTTTGGTTCAGTGGTTAGAGCATCGGCCTGTGGTCCAGAGAGACCCGGGTTCGGTTCCCGCTATGGGCATGTACCTCGGTTACAGTTTGTCCCCGGCCCTGGTCAGTCGTGCAGGAGGCAGCCACTGGACATGTCCCTTTCACGTTGATGTTTTTTTCTCTCTCTCTCTCCCTTCCACTCTATCTGAACAAAATATCGAAAAATGTCCTCGGGTGAGGATAAAAAAACACACACCAATTTACAGGAAATTCTGAACATGTTGAGTGTATGCAAAAGGCACAACACTCTAAAGAAAGATGCCTTCCTTGGTAAAGATAGAAATGTAACTGCAGATAAGATCTACAGAGAGACTAGAACGATATTAAATAAACTACTAAGGCATTAATATTAATTTTTATAATCCCTGTTTTAGAAGATAAAAGTATTGACACTGAAGTGATAATATTATCTAGTTCAGCTGGGGTCGTGTGGGTGGCAACCAATCGATGTCTCTCACGTCGATGTTTCTCTCTCTCTCTGTCTGAAGATAAATGTAAAAATATCCTCAGGTGAGGATTAAGAAATAAAAATAAAAAAATAAAGCCTTTTTGATTATTTCTCATTATGTACTATTTATAAACAGATGACCATAATAATTAATAAAATTCAAGTAAATATAGAAAAAATTAAGGCTAGAAAGACAACTTTAAAATATTTTTGTCAGTTTTTCTCAGGCATTGTTTTCTCAAAAAATACAACACATACCCAGGTGTAATGAATGCATATTTATGTCATTAATGACAGGTTGTTGTTTACTATTATAAGGTCATTACTATTTAATTTAAAAGACGCATCTAATGTGTCACAAGAAAAGAAATACACACTTAAGGCTGTCCTATTAATACAATAAGAACACAGCACAACCTACATCACCTTTCACATAAACTGATCCAGTATTGGGAGTCATAAGAAAACTATCTAAATCCATCATGAAAGACATTCAAAAGTGAATATTAAACAGAATCTGTTGAAATGCAAAATCTATTTACACAGCAAAGCCACAGAGCAAACCTAGCACAGAACACATCCTTAGCAAGTATCACTTGACATTTTCAATGGCTGCAGCAGAAAATACACAAAACTAAGGATGCTTGCAGATTCAGAAAGAGTAACAGAGTGCGGCATCCCTTTCATCTGAAACTCTCAGAGCTCTTAACAAATACTAAATTCCTTTGGCTCTGCAACACCTCTGTCTTTGGGTAAATACTTTGTTAGTGGTTAAGTGCCTTGCTTCAAGGTCACAGAATGAACTGGCGGCACAAAGTAAACTCAGAAGTGTGGTCTGCAGTTTTATGCATAAATGAACATCACTGAGATTCAGTGTTCTGATAATTTCCAAGGTGGAGTGGAGGTTAAATTCACTTGTCCCACAACTCTAGGAAAGAGGCCAAATTTTAGGAAAGAAAAGCTTTTATTTGGGGGAAGTCACAGTTTTAACTCTGATGAGCTTATAGGTTCTTTAAACTCATACTTGGACTTCACTAAAAGCAAGTTAGGGTCAGAGGATGGATTGGTAAGCACTCCGAGGGGTTGTAGTAAGGCCTGGGATTGAAGCTCCTTAGCAAATATTGAGGAAACGGAAGCAAGAGGTAGCAGGTCAAATTCGGGTCTGAGCGTACAAGGAAAAGGACTGGTCAAGGCCACCTTGTAAAACCTGAAACCCTGAATCCACACAGAACTCGCTGGGCAATCATATGTGGGCAGCGGGAAAAACTCGAGGTTGGGCCCTTCCTCCAAAACCGATTCTAAGTTCGGGGTTGTCCCACCCCCTCCGTGGTCAGGGCTCTTCTCCCGGGTGACCAGAAGCTGGTGGAACCGAAGGGGGTTCAGTGCGGCCAGCTTTCCGGGAACAGAGGCCAAGACCCAGACCCGCACTCACCTCGGCGCCAGGCGCGCTTCACCAACGCCAGCCTTCCTCGCCCGAGGCCCAGCTCCCACCAACCTCAGGGAGAAATAGCCTTCGCCATCCCGACGAAGCCAGGCCAGTCCATCCCCCTTTCCCAATTTGCACTGCGTTGCGACGCGTCGCGCCCCTGACGTCACGGAGGGTGGGGCTGCGCGCGCGCGCGCGCGCGCTCGGGACGGCTCGTTCCTCCCCAGCCCTGCCCCTGCGGGTGTGGGCCGCGCGGGAGCCCGCGGAGGCCGAGGAGGACGTGTTGGGTGCGCGGTTGGGCAGGGCCAGACTACGTCGAACCGGGGCGAGCTCTCGGCTGGTCCCATCCCGTATGCCCTGAGCCTGGCTTAACTGCGGCGTAGCTTGGCCACCCTGGTGTTTCTAGCGTCGTGGCCCTCGTCGTGGAAGAAGCAGGGCTGCTTTTGCGCCTCTTCGCTCGGAGAATTAGGGCTGACTGGAAGAAGAATTGGAATACGCTCAAATTCAGGCGAAAAGTTAAACGTTCTCCGAAGGAAGCCTCCGGTCAAAGGTCAAAGAAGAATAGACATGATCCTAAAGCACCTTGTACACGCGCGCGCGCGCACACACCCACTTAAGGCCAGTTAAAGGCCCACACTTTTACAAAAACAAAACGAGAGGTCTGAACTTTTCTCACGAGGTGATCTTTGTACTCTTGTAAAAGCTGGTTGGACATTCCAATGATCTGTAAACATAAAGTTGCCTGGATGGAGTTGCTGTTCATGGTCACAAAGTCACCAGGGGCTTGTCTAGGTGTCTCGTGGGTGGGAAAACTGAGAGGTGAGGACTAGTAAATGCCTTAAATGAAAGTGTGTGCCAGATAGGTGTTCAATAAAGTTGAGAGGATAAATTAAAGAACCTAGTTCAACAGTTCTTCACATCTAGTAGCTCTTTTTATACCTAAGCTATACACTGTTTCCCAAAAGATTTGACTGATATAATATGAAATATACTGTACTGCCTAGAACTACAAATTAGGAAGTCTTAGCAAATTTTCATAACTAAAGGGGGAAAAAATGCATCTATCTTTTGAGGATGTGTCTTAGAGAAGGAAGTTGGGGAGGGGTTATTGTTGATTGTTTTTTTTTCTGCTGAGCACCTAGATGAAGTTAAATATGCAAAGAAAACCCCAGAGCTGAGTTTGGGAGTTGCAACCAAACAAAAATAGGGAGAATTTGGAGTTATTTGAAGATAATCTCGGAGACAAGATGCAAGGAATGGGAGATGATAGAGAGAGAAGGCATAGCCCTGGCCAGTTTGGCTCAGCGGTTAGAGCGTCGGCCTGCGGTCCGGAGAGACCTGGGTTCGGTTCCCGCTAAGGGCACGTACTTCGGTTGCAGTTTGTCCCCGGCCCTGGTTGGTCGTGCGGGTGGCAGCCACTCGATGTGTCCCTTCACGTCGATGTTTCTCTCTCTCTCTCCCTTCCTCTCTCTCCTTCCCACTCTATCTGTACAAAAAATGGAAAAATATCCTCGGGTGAGGATAAAAAAAAAAAAAAAAAAAGAGAGAAGGCATAAAAATGAATTAACCAATGAAAAGAATCTCCTATGGTGAGGTGGTAGAAAGGATTTAGTAAATAGTACTCATTAACATTTACCTAAAGTTATTTTTGTTGCTCTGATATAATTTCCACAATCCTTCCTCCTCAATAAGTAAAATTACCCCGCTTCTCTAAAACATCAGTCAGGTTTGCTAAAACACAAACCATTGCTTGAGGGATTTTTTTTGTTTTGTTTTGATGAAGTTCCACATGTGGGTCAACAGGTGCAGAAGAGAGAAGAGAGACCAGGCACAAAATGACAAGATATTCCCAAACTGAACTAAAGTAGCGAAAACAGAAACAAAACAACAACAACAAAAATGGTTCCTAGGAAATTTAATGAAATCTGAGGATAAGCTTTGGATTTTTTCAAAATTAGTGGGATAAGAATTTCTAAGGAGCAAAGTTACCTAGATGAAACTAGGCTAATTAAATTGCACGATAAACCCTAGCTCTTTTTCTTTTTAAATTATTTACTGATTTTTTTTTTTTTTGAGAGATGAAGGAGAGACAAACATTGATTTTGTTGTTCCATTTATTTATGCATTCATTGGTTTATTCCTGTATGTGCCCTGGCTGGGGATTGAACCCATAACCTTGGTGCATCAGGATGACACTCTAACCAATTAAACTATCTGGCCAGGGCAACCCTAGTTCTTTCACAAATGTGTATTGTAACAAACCAGGCAGTCGTATGCATGGTACCTATAATCTAATGGTCACTAGCTGTGTAGAAGGCATGGACTATATTTGATCATAGATTTAATTCCTGTGCCATCCAGCATAAGCAGTAGTAATCCAAAACTCAACTTGGTTTATCCTCCATCCAACAGTGAGAGAGAGAAAGAGAGAGAGAGAGAGAGTCAGGTGTTGTTTAGTACTTAGAAGAAAAATAAAACAGGATAGAGGGCCAGTAAAGACAGTGGTATTTTTGATGGGATAGGCAGGAAAGAGCTCTCTGACAGTGACATTTCCACAGAGCCTTTGGTAAAGACAGGGAACATGCTGCAGAAATGTGGGAGAAGAGTATCCAGGCAATGGGAACCGCACAGGTGAAGGCAGTGGTGCAGGAAAAGGTGAGTGTGCTGGAGAAACAGCAAGAAGGACTCTATGGCTGGCATAGAGTGAGTGAGTGGGATCATGATGGGAGATGATCTCAAAGGGGTGGGGAGGGAATGGAGCACAAATTATATAGGGCCTTGTAGGTCAATAAAACATGTTTATCCCAGAATAATGCAAGAAGTGAATCACATGCTAATATTTTATGAAAAAATTTAGCTTTCATATATGTATGACAGAATTTACAATGTTATGTACAAATGTTCATCCCAATTATTTTTTAGCCAAAACACAAGTATACTATGGTTCTTTTACTAATCATGTATTCTTTTCTATTCATCTGGTTTTTATTTCATAATGATTAACAGATTGGGCCAGTGCATGGTCCATCAAACATTTCATTTCTAGGGGAAACATCATCAGACAAGGGATGAAAAGTCTTGGCTCGTCTCCTGGATATCAACTGCAAAGGTTAGGCATTTACTACTCTTTGCATTTCACTGAGATGCTATCAGCCATTGGTTTATCTTAAATTGAAAAAAATCTACAACATCACCACTTAGGGTGATTCAAGTTCTATTGTTTTTAATGTAAACTTATACTTCTATCTAATTGGCCTAACCTTACCTCAATAAAGTTTTAGAGATGCACCCTCATTCTATGATTTCAAAATTTAGTGAACAACTGTGCTTACCTTTTTCAGCCCTTTATGATTTTACAGACTTAGGTATTCTCTCCTGCCTTTGTTTTTTTTGTTTATTTGTTTGTTTGTTTTTGTTTTTAGTTGAAACTGAAGAGTTTTAATCTGGTTATTATGTTCTTCAGTGATTCCCCATTCCAGTTGTTACTTTGTCTTCTGGATTTTCCCTGCTTCTACTAGATTATCCTCACAGATACTACTCAAATAATACTCAGAATACAATATTGCAAATGGTGATGCACATACATATTTCTTTTAACAATGTGTTTTATTGATCTTATAGAGAGAGGAAGGGAGAGGGAGAGATTGAAACATCGACTAAAAAGAGAAACATCGATGTGAGAGAGAAACATCAATGTGAGAAACATGGATCGGCTGCCTCCTGCACCCACCCTACTGGAGAGTGAGCCCATAACCTGGGAATAAGCCCTGACCAGGAATCAAACCAGTGATCTTTTGATGCATGAGACAATACACAATGAACTGAGCGACATCAGCCAGGGTGCACATACTTTTATCTTTTTTTTTTTTTTTTTTTTTTTACTTTTATCTTAACAAGAGAAATTTTCACCTACTTGACTAAGGTAATCAAGGAATTACTTAAACTTCTTAAGAATTAGACAGATGGGGCCCTGGCTCGTTTGGCTCAGCGGTTAGAGCGTCGGCCGGTGGTCCAGAGAGACCCGGGTTTGGTTCCCGCTAAGGGCATGTACCTCGGTTGCAGTTTGTTCCTGGCCTTAGTTGGGTCATGAGGGTGGCAACCACTCGATGTGTCCCTTTCACGTTGATGTTTCTTTCTTTTTCTCTCCCTTCCACTCTATCTGAACAAAAAATGGGAAAATGTCCTCGGGTGAGGATGAAAAAAAAAAAAAAGAATTAGAGGGATGGGGAGGCAGGATGGGGAGGAGGGTGTCTAGGGGGGAAAAAGGAGAAACATCTGTAACAAATATAAATTAATAAAAATTAGGAAAAAAAAGAATTGTCTCTGCAATTTTGTCATACTAATGTTAACTGGAAAAGAAAAAAAAAAGAGAGAATCCATTCAATAGCCATAAGAACTGGTGAGCTATGAGAGTATTAGATTGAGATCATGGAATCAGCAGATATGTTTAAGCTGTTTCTACATATTCACACACACACACAAAAGAAACTATTAAATTTAGCTATATAGATCTTCTTTAAGTCAAAATTCCAAAATATCCTTCTGCAATTTATTCCCATTTATATGACTCCTAACTGTCTAAAGTAATATAATGTCATCTAAGGGATTAGGAGTCCAATTAAAAATAAAATTTTTATCTCACCCGAGGACATTTTTGCAATTATCCTCAGAGCAGGAGGAGGGAGGGAGGGAGAGAGAGAGAGAAAGAGAGAGAGAGAGAGAAACATTGATGTGAGAGAGACACATGGAGTGCCCGTCACCCACACTACCCTAACTGGGGCTGGGGACAAACCACAACCAAGGTATGCGCCCTTAGTGGGAACCAAACCCAGGCCTCTCCAGTCTGTGGGCCAGTGCTCTAACCGCTGAGCCAAACCGGCCAGGGCCAGGAGTGTAATTTTTGATGGGGTGTTTATTTTTCCAAATCAAAGGTACATGTATTAAATATGCCAATGGTTTTCAGACTTATATATTATCAAGCAATAAAAGGCTTGAATAAACACAACACACGGTGCAGGCCCTACACAAAACTTTATAGACACAGGGCTAGCCAAATTCATGGGAGCCCCCAGCTGTTTGCCCATCCTCGGAGACTTGTGCATGCATCTTGGGAAA